TCGAATGCTTAATAATATCGAAAATTATACCATAAGAAACGTCTAAAGATCTTTAAGATTACTACATTAGTCGTCAAAAAATTTCTTCCGCGAAGCAGTGAGTTTTTTATTGTTTCCCAGATTCCAAAAATTTGCGTATTCCCGTTAAGTCTGTCTTCAACATAGACTACATAACCTATTGTACTTATATAAAATATTTAAAAAATTTATGATTTCTTAAATTTTTTAGATAATGCCTCTGAAGCAGTGTGTATATATACTAATTTATTTTTGTCTACATTCTTTTATTTGCACTCTCTATATCTATAAATGTGTGTCAACTAGGTCGTGAAATGACTGGTTTCACTCGTCCGATGTAGGGCTAAAAATGTACATGACAACTATTTAAAATATCTTCCGTTGAAGACTGTCTTTGTATATAGGTTTTTTGTAACGTTGCAAGACTGAAAAAATTAAATTTTTTCATATATCAAATCACTATAGACAGTTTTCAAGTGCATTTAAATATATACTATTGTGTGACCAAGAGTAAAATTTTTAAAATGACCAATGATTCACTCCTTACGCGATAATAGTTTGAAAACGTTGTGTTGCAAAATATATTGTGACTGTAACGGGATGCCTGACACATGTAAATATCAACGCAATGTTCTTTTGAACACAATAAGGCAGTTACTGAGGCCTTTGTATAATTATATATTTTTGTCGAGGCTCTTGTTTTAATATATTTAACTGAATATAAAAGTACAAAGAAGTTTGAGCATAAATATATTGAGCGTATTTGTAATTTTTATTAATCATCTTATAAAATCACTAAATTAATATTGGTGAAGATAAAGTCAAAGTCTTGTATTATTGAAGAGTATAGGCTAACAATAAAATAGAGAAGCAAATGTTGAGCTGCAATATTGCAATACCCATATCCATTTATTACATAGGGTGATCAAAAAGTCACCCCTAGGGAAATATGCGTTGAAATTTACAATGAATTATAAATTTATTCAATATTCATTCTAAAACTTAAAAAACTTTCAAATTAAGTGTTAAAAGTGCCTTCGTTGCCTCCAAACACAGGCTGAAACAATTCTTCTGTAACCAACGCAGTGAAATTCAACATTGCAGTTTTCAATACATCGACGGATTTTGGACGATATTGATGATACAGCAAACTTTATTATACAAATTTCACCGAAAAGTATTGACTGTCGCCTTACTTGAGCTTTGAATATTTTTTTCTTTTATTTAATTGAAGGAAGGCAAGATCAACTGCACTTTCACTACTGTCGATATCAGAGCTTGATAGGGATTAGAATATTTTATTGCTTGATTGAAATCTAATATAAAAAGCTGCAAACCTTTGTATTTGCTGTTATCTTTTACCTGGTTTTTATTTTAAAATCTAATGTATATTTTCCTTAGTTATTTAAGCAGATCGAAATCACTTATTTCTGCAGGGAAGTTGTATATAATGTTTTCAAAGTGTGTTACAATTTTTCTTTGCATATATTATGCATCTCAGTGTATAAATACTTATATGCCAAAAAGATTATTGCCTACCAGACTATTTAATTTGTCATAAAATATATAGTTATATTAAATAGTTGTCATTTTATGTTCAGTGTAAATAAAATCTGTATATATTTATTATCGTAGTCGAAATAGATCGTTGCACACATTTTTATAAATTACCATTTAATATTCTGAGTAAAATATATGTACTCTTTTTAATATGTGTTTTATATACAAACCCTTACAAATATGGTGTCTTCATTATTTTCGCATTTTTCAGTTAATTATATCCGCTTTATGTTTAAAAGAAAATTGAAAATAGTTAACGAAAATATTTTTCATGATTTTTTTTTATTTGTTGAAACTAAAGAGATTATTATAGTCTAAGATTCCACTGCAGGATCACTGCGCCAAAAACTAATTTTTGAACAAAAAATTAATTTCGTTAATTTATATTTTAAATAAAATATACTGCTCATGAGGTATATGGATAATTTTTTATATAAAATTAAAGCTAATTTTTTCTTAATATGATGATATAAGGTTACTTGAGAAAAAATAGTCGCAAGTTGGGGTTTCCAGCTGCTAAAAACGCGAGTTATCAAAGATAAAGTAAAAGAGAGCTAGCGCGCAATGCTACTGGTTTGAAGTGTCAGTAGTTATGTGAGATTTTAAAGCATGCGCCGTTTAGTTTGATTTCTTTGGTTGCCTGCTCTAAAATGGTTTAGTGCAGAAAGGACCTAAGTAAACTAACTTAGTCCCATTAAGAAATAAATATTTAAATTGGTGTGAGGTTGTATTTGGCGTTGCGCTCTGTTTTGGTTTAAAATGCAGGTCTCGTGTCGCGAAATATTTTCAGTGATTTACCGGCTTCGGTACTGTGTGCAGGTAAGAGTAATATAATCACATTTTTCTGGATATGTCTAGTTCCGACGAAAATAGAAGTTCCGCTCTGAAAGTGAAGGGGGCCACCTCAATCAGATAGTCTTAGAAAAAGACGGCGAGGTGTGAGAAATGATGATAATTATTATCAAAAAAGCTAGAGTCAGTGGTACTGCGTATACAGATTATAAAGGTAAGATGCTTACTGCCAGGCAAATCGGAGGTGATTACAAGTAAATTAAATTAAGTTATATATTGAATGGCCTAGGTATATAGATGCGTTATTTTTTAGATGTAAAATTAAGTGTTTTACTAAGCTAAACGATGAGCAAAAGCAAATAGTATTTGAGAATGTCTACAAAATGCAAAACAAGGCTGAACAGGATATATATCTTCAATGCCTGATATATCAGAAAAATGTAGCAAAACGAAGAAGTCAAAAAAATGAAAACAATAAATTAAGGGAAGTATGTTTTGGTCATTTTATTCACGTTGGCGATCTGAAAGTAAAAGTGTGTTATAGGGCTTTTTTAAATTTGCATTCTGTATCTGAAAAAAGAATAAAGCGAATAAAATCTTTGATTAAAAATAATCTGACTCCTCGAGATAAACGTGGCAAAAATATTAAACGGGCAATGCCAGAAGATCAAAACATATTAATTCGTCAGCACCTTCAAAGCTATCCAGTAAAAGAAAGTCACTATTCGGAAAAATAATATAAAGATCTAGATAGTAGGTGTGACGAATTAAACAAATAATGAGCTATTACGAGAATAACTAGTTAAATTAATATCAACAATATTTCCTTCGGTAGCCCTGGCAAGATGAATAAAATTAACTCATAGGTGCAAATAATTATCAAGAATTTAAATGGTTGCAATAAACAATCAAAAACAATTTAAAGGTTCAGGTAAAACTAGGTGAACTTACCGCACCGCTAATTACCATTGTTTACACTACTTTACAAAACAACGAACAAAACGACTTCAATATGAGTGCCTCGGTTTACGTTCACGGTCGGGTTGCGTCCTTTTCTCTTAACGACTTACGCTCTTCTGTCTTGGTGAGATATATTCCCGAACCTGAGTGGTAATATAAGGATCGTAGGAATACAGGGGAGGACAAATGTATTGATTAATTCATACAACCATATTTGAATCTAAACAGCAGGCTTAATATAAAAATTATGTACGAAATGTTTAGATCCAAATATCCTGAAACGGAAATGCAATACAGCTATTATTATACATTTTTTCGCGAAAACTTTCGCAAAAACAGAGACAAAAGTCACTCTTTGAGAGATGCCTCAAAAAAGTGGATGTTGCAGAATTGTTGGTACACAAAAAAAGGGCCAACAAGTTTTTTATGAATTTAAAGTTTGATGTTCCCCTCTAAAAAATCCTATAAGTAGAATCTTACTCAGATTTTATAGTTTAATCTTCCATAATTAAAAGGTAACTTAGTAGCTCTTTGTTGTGCTCCTAATAAATTAATTTTCCTTTGCAAATGGGGTGACCAAATTGACACTGCAAATCCTAATTGTGGTCTGACATAACTTTTGTAGAGTTTTAGAAAACAAGTCTGGAGACATTCTATGAAAATCTTTGATATGATTTTGATCTATTAAAGTATAAAACAGAGTCAGCTTTACTAATTACTTTTGCTGCTTGAGTAGACTAACTTAATGTTTGGTTGACTGTAACACCAAAATAACTTTCTGTACCGATTTTAGAGAAACTCCACCCAAAAAATCTGTAAATGTGGATTATTATATCCCGCATTGAATGATACAACACTGACGCGTATTTATTGGAATAGCGAATTTCATGCTCCATTCTAATAGCTGGATAAGGTCACGATATCTGGACAGTAATATAACTTTAAATCGTCGGCACATGAAACCGATTTTGACTGCCATCAACACGTTAAATCAGGGTGTGGAGGGGGTACGAGTACGGGTTATCCCAATAGCGTTTCTCGCTTCATCGTTGGTGTTCTGGCGTTTTACACTATATACCTACGTTTTTTCTCCAGATTTCCATTTTTTCTTCTATTTATTTGTCTGTTAGACATCCAATTAGTTCTATATATAGAGACCTATTGCAGCTTTTATTTTTTGTATGGATTGAACAAATTGTGCTTTTAGCTAATCTCTCTACTTCTTCAGTATTCTCTGAGGTATTTTTCTTTGGCTTGTTTGATGTATTTCTATGACTTTTTATAGTTGTCTTTACTTGGCATATGCAAAGACCTTTAGCAATACATAGTCCGATATTTCTTGGTAAGTAGCGCTGAGAAATACCGTAATTTTCAATTTTTTTGACAATCATCCAGGTCTCTATAAAGCTATGATAATTAAAAAAGTGAATTATAACGAAATACAGAATATATAATTTATTATACTATAATGAGATCCATTAAAATACATTTATTAAGAGTATAGGTAATTAAAATTTTAAAATGTGAGCACCATTTTTTTCCACAAGTAATGTGCATTAATACATAATAAGTCCCCACTATTTTTGCCCCGCTTTCTCCTAACAAACCGCACGCGGTCAAGGATATCCCAAGTATGATGGTCGTTGATTAACATTAAATCAAATGGCAAACAAAAATGTTTCGTAAAATAAGTCTACGAGCGTAGACTAGCGTGAATCAAACTAATTGCATCAATAATTCTTTGCTACAAATATACTTTTTGCGTTTGACCTCTAAATCACGTTTCCAAAGATAAAATTTTGATAATAGATGGTGTTCTCTAAGAAAGGCACGGTTTGTTCCTAACATGGATAAGTTATTGAGGGGAATAATGAAATATCGGGGCACCGCGAGGGATGAAATGGTCAAACAATTTTTGCAAGTCAAGGATAATCCCATGGTGAGTACCTACAGCACTTATTTTAATTGATCTTATTAAATACATCTCGTCATTCATCATACATTATCATTGTTTACCTGACGAAACAAGCGATGTTGCCGACTGTTAACTTTAAGTAAAAGAAGCTAAAAATAAAGTTTTTAATAGTTTGTAGAGTTCAATGTTCAAAGTACCTATCTTGTTTTTATTTTTTACTATAGTTAAAATAAACTTTAAAAATTATTGGTAGAAGCTTTTTATGCTTTCTAGAAGTAGATACTTTTTGTTTCTAACCCCAACTATATTATCCAACGTATTTTTGAGGAACCAATATGTTTCGGTCTCAGAGACCGATATTTAAATAAAGCCATTTTATTTAAGAAACTTTGTAAAAACTTGAAGAAGCAGACGTTTTTGTTATATATGTAAATTGTTTATTGCGTAAAAGAGGTGGTGTAGCTATCTAAAATGTATTAAACACAAACAAGGATAGGAAATAAAAATAAAACCTAATTGATAAGATATAAACAAAAATGCTACTTTACAAATAAAGAAAAATGCAATACGAAATAATGAAGAATGTACCCGAATTTCCGACAAAATAAGTTTTTTTATTTGTGCTATCACGGTAAATGCTCCTACTTTTCTAACACTAGTTTGCTTCATCATCATCTATAACTAGTCTGTTTATACTGTCCGGTTAATATTGCCCTAAAGGCTCGGTTCTCGAAATTATTAAGACTCTGGTATTTTAGTACAACTATAATTTAATTGAGTCTACCGTCGAGACATTAAGGAATCGGTCAGTGACCTTCCAGTATCTATTTATTCGTTGCCAGTGACAATTTAGTGGTGTTCCATCACTACTAAAGTAACGAATGACCCGAGATCCGTTGATTCGGATCTTTCAAAAAATCCGTATTTCCCATGACTATAATATTAAGTATCCCTAAACCATATGTTTCTCTATTATGAATCTTCAGTAGTCAAGTCATCTACGAATTCTAAAGCTCCCATCATAATAAAGTTACTGTATTGCATAGTAGGATTCCGTTTCTTTTCATCACCAAATCATTCATGTTTGGGTCGTCATAACATAATGGATCCTATACGTAGTAGTTAGGTCAGAGAACTTGTGTTCGTAGTTCTCTGGTTAGATCGCATTCCATTATGTTTTTATTATGCGATCCAAATTTTGTTACTGTTTACTGAGTCGAGTCAAATTCTTTATGGTTGTATCCTATTTCAGCTGTGTACATTCGAAAATTATTCATAATATACATATGTTATCCATACCGTCTTGGTCTATATTTTGTTTTACTTATTTCTACACAATTGCAATAAATAAATAATCCCCTTTTTGTATGTTTAATACAATATTTTACTGAATGTTGAAGTAAACTTGTTATTAATCTTATAAACATCTTTAGTATCGTAAATCCTGGCAACACTGTTCACCACATTAACCTATGCGTGCGCAGCACATGCTTACTGTATTTTATTTTCTTTTTTTTTAGCCAAAGGCAGTGTTTTTCACGTGTATTGACAGTCGAATGATACCGACAAGGTTCACCCAGACTGAAGTTGGAGATATGTTTGTGGGTGAGTAGGTACTTTTAAAATTTGGGAAATATAATTCTGATGAAAGTAGACAACACATTTTACATTAAACATAATCGATGTTTTGAAAATTAGGAGTAAATTGCAAAATAAACTTTTCATTAACGTTTCTACTTTCAAAAGCATTTTTTGAATTAGAGTAAAGTAGTCTGCTATATCATGGGCCTTGATTTTACAAGGGTGAACAGGATACATCTATTTTCGGACGGACGGATTATTTTTTTTGTAACTGAAAATAATTTTGTTTCAGTAAGAAACGCTGGAAATGTAATACCTCATTCCCAACATTTTGTGGATGAGTTAACATCAAACGAACCAGCTGCATTAGAACTCGGATGTGTAGTAAATGACATTCGGCATATAATCGTTTGTGGCCATAGCGATTGTAAAGCAATTAATTTATTATATAAATTACAGGATAGAGAATTTGCATCTCAGGTAAGCTTATTTTACCAATGGTTTGTTTTAGCAGACCAAATACATAGAGTAGTCATTATACCACTCATTTTTTCATTTTTTGTTTCTTGAACTTAAAATTATTTTGTTTGATATATTTTATTAGTTAGTTTCCTGTTAAAAAGTATGCAGGTATGCCTAAAAGCCCAGTATATTAGTGATACTAGATAATACTGCGATTACTGCGACCTTCTAAATATACCTACTGTGGTCTATTTTGTTCAGTTCTCGGGACCGTAACATTCTCATCACATTTGGTATTTTGATTACTAAATCTAAAGGCGTTGTCGTTCCTATACTCTACAACTATAAGTTGTTCTTTTTTCTCTACTTTGATCGATTATCTCAGATTATATCAAAGAATTTTCCCACTTTTCTTTGTGTCGATGCAATAAATTTCTACAGAATACCAGAAGTATCATGGACCGACATAAGTTTTACATTAACAGGCCGTGTTGGTCTTATGGGAACAACATTTATTCTGATAAGTACCGAGCTTTTAGTGTTTATTGGCTATGAGTAACTATGGGATTGGACCAACGAGGCGTATAATTTGTGCTATTTTTAAATATGACAAATGATTTCCACGCCATATTGATGGTAATAGGGTTCCATTCTCTTCCTGGACGTATAAAGGCTTAAATTTTGTAGTGGGGAAAGTTTACAAGTGGTCTCACTATTTACAGTTTATCACTTGTATCTGCCAATGAAATATTATTGAAGCATCCTTAACCACGTCACGAATCGATTCACGAATAATTGTCCTGCATTTGGTATCTGAGTCCATTCACGAATGTTTTTTAACCAAGAAACTTATTTTCTTCCTGCACCTATACGGCCCTCTATTTTGCCTTTAAGGATCAGTTGTAAAATTTTATATCGACTTCCCATTACTATATGTCCCAGATAAGACATTTTTCGATGTTTACTTGACATCATATTCTTTGCAAAATGTTTATGCAATAGGTTATTGTTACTTCAATAGTATTCGATTTTTTGCATTTTCACTAAACCTATTTAGGCAACAAGTCCTAAAAGTTTTCTTACTTCAGTTTTTGTCGTTGGAATCCAGTAATATAAGCATTGCCAACATCAGCGCTTACAAAGGAACAAAAAAAGGTGCTTAACTTGTAGTTATTCTCCATTCGCTTAGCTCGGGCATATTTTGACAGATTCATTGTCGGAAACCTACAACACAAAAATTCCTACTTCTCAGTATTAATAGCTCAAATATACTACTATTGCAGACTTCTTCCTTTAAAAAAAGAAGAATTATTCCAAATAGTGGAAGTGTATACTAAACCCATAATATTTTCCCTGTATATTTAAAATATAATATTTGAGTTGTTACAATTGAACATATTGTAGTAAATATTTGTATTATTCGCGTTGTTTATTTTAGCTAATATAGTTTTATTGTTCCATTATTTTTGTTTAATTATTTGTTAGTTCTATTTAGTTAATTAGTTAGTTCTATTTTGAATTTTATTATTAGAGATAGTCAAAGTTTTCCATTTGTTCTATCAGATAATGCGTTGGGAAGTTTTTCTTGAATAAATATAAATATGATAAATGTTCTTTAAAAGTTAATATTTTTAGATGAGTAAGGATGCTGTTAAATTACGAGGTAATCAAACTGCACAAAGATTTATTCAAAACACCAACCATTTTTGTTTAATTATTTGCCCATTCGGCGTAGGTGGATCATTAAAATATATTTATAAAATTATGTAAATATGTTCTTAATAACAAAAACATTTCAGTTAACATCCAGTTCAGTTTGACATGGCGTCAAAAATTAAATAAAAGCTGTGATAAAAGTTACAGTAATTTAGTTTATATCGTTAAGTTGCTCCAAATGTAGGCAACCAACTTAAACCTTTTGTTAGGACTTAGCTGGAGCACAGAATAATAAGCAATCAGAAGGGCCACTCTCAGATGCCGCCTTTGAAGTTTTTCAGCTAGCGCGCCATGTTTTAGGAGGACACAGACATATGATTTGTGTGGTTATGTAACTGTTTATATTTATGTTTAATTATATTATATTTATGTTATTATATTTAACAATGTTAATATAATTGTATAGTATGTCTATGATTGCCGTAAGTCAAATAAACCTGGTTAACTTTTCCATACACACCACATAAACAACACTAATTTCTTTAAAATCCTCCTAAAACATGGCGGAACGTCTGCGCGGAGGAGATGCGCGTACTTAATTTTCCGTGGAGAGTGGGTATTCTGTTTGTTTATTATTCTGTGGCTGGAGTTTCTTGAGAATATTTTTAATAAACGTTTATTATTTTCCAGTTAATTTATTATTTTTTAAAAGTGATGATAATAATGCTGAATAAGCAATATTTCAAATGATATTTAATCACAAAACGTATTTAATACTGTGTTATTGTAGAATCCTCATAATAAAGTACGTTAGATAAAAAAGGTAAAATCCCGGGCCGTCCAAAACTAGTTTCTAATAGGAATAATAGAAGATTATGATTTGTTTTAATTATATTTTTAATGATATTGGATATTTTTGAATTATAATATGAATATTATGATATTTTTTTATCTAACCTACTTTATAATACGATATTAAGTACGTCCTGTGATTAGATATCATTTGAAATATTGCTTATTCAGCATTATTATCATCACTTTAAAAAATAATAGTAAATTAACTGGAAAATATTAAATATATTCTCAAGAAACTCCAGCTAAATGCTAACAAAAAGTTTAAGTTGGTTGCCTACATTTGGCGCAACCTAACGATATAAACTAAATTACCGTAACTTTTTTTTATAAAACATATTTTTTATATATATAATAGAAACTTACATTCTATATACATGCTATAAATTTCTAATTCATAGTTTAAGTTTGCAAAAGAGGTCGACGAAATACTCTAATGAAATGCGCTATGAGTACGTGTATTTGGTTGTATAATAATTTCCAGCCACTTCTAGTCTGTCAAAAAGTAACTAACTTCGTAAAAACATATTTACTAAAATCACTAGACAGTTCGGACTGGCATTAGCGAACCGAGTATACCTACTCCATCCCAAGTCGCATCATGGCCTCCTTCAGTAGGCTTCTCCAAAGATCTCGATCGATTGATTTTCTTTTACATGAACGTGTTTTTATGAGGTTTTTCAACATATTCATCTACTTCGTCCTCATATCTCTTTTTTGGTCTTTTAATAGATTTATTTCCTTGTATTAAGTAAATTTCTGGAAAGCCTGTTGTCATGGATTCGGACCACGTATCGCGCTCACGCTCACTACTACTATTCTACTATCGATCAAAACTACTAAGCGAGTTTTAATCTCATCTCGAACTATGTGCAGCTCTTATATTGGCTCAACTTGTTAATAAAGTAAATAATTCATTCAAACTTCGATTTCGATACTATTGGACCGATTCTACAATAGTTCTTGGTTGAATAAACACACAATCAATGACAGCAGCTCGCAATTGGAGACATATTACTTCAAGTCAAAATCTAGCTGATTTGCTTTCACGCGGAATAAGCCCTTCTCTTCTTCAAACTTATTCTCTTTGGTGGCATGGCCCACAATTTTTGTCTATCCCTGAAGAGTCATGGGAAGTATCTAGTACTGATTCAATTTTTTTTCTCGAAATGAAGAATTCAGTTCGAACTCTGATTGTAGTCCATTCTTTTAAGTCTCCAGTCGATGATTTCTCCTGTCATATTAAAAGACTCGTCGCTTATCGGTTAGGTTTTATTTATAATTGCTTCACACGCGATAAAACTCAAAGAAAGTCAAGTTGCCAGGTGTACTCTAGATCAGTATATACATTTTTTAATAAAGCTAGCTCAAGGTAAAGGATTTCCACTGAATTATCTGATCTTTTAAAGGGAAAAATGATTTCCTCTAGCAGTAAAAGTCTTTCTTGGCGATAAAGGTATTATTAGGGTTGGTGGAAAAATATGTAACTCTAATCGTAAATTTTATAAAAAATATCCTATCTTATTACCAGCTAAATATCATTTGACAATACTGATATTTCGTTTGAACCATTGACTATTTCATTCAGGTACTCAACATCTTTTAGCAGTTGTTAGAGAAAATTTCTGGCCTATTAATAGCAGAAACACGGCAAAAAAGATAGTAAGAGAATGCGTTCATTGCTTTCTTTTCAATCCTAAACATGATTACTCGATAATGGACTTACCCAAAGCTTGTATTACTCCTTCATTCCCATTTTCGGTTGCTAGTATTAATTACGATTACCTTGAAAACCAAAAAGTGCCATAATCCGGCATTTTGTAAAGCATACGTGATTTTATTTATCTGTTTTTCTACCAAAGCAATTCACTTGGAACTAGTAACCTTACTGCTCAATATTTTACATCTACTTTAAAACGTTTTATATCTAGACTTGGAAAACCAGTTTAGATTTTGTCTGACAATGGTACAAATTCCATAGGATCATATAATGAATTAGGTAACTTTATTAAGATCAATCAATTTAATATATCAGACGTTTGTGCCTATAATAAAATAAATTGGCAATTTATATAAGTATATTCACCTCATTTCGAAGGAATTTATGAATCAGGTATTAAGTCGAAATCTTATTTGAAAAGAGTTATTTTAAATTCACATCTTATTTCTAAAGATTTCAACACTATTTTTGTTCAGATAGAAGGTATCCGAAATTCTTTTGACCTTACCCTAATCACTCCTGTCCACTTCTTGATTGGAATTTAACTAGCTGCCCACTTTTGGGCAGCTTTTTATACAAATAATTACCACCCTGTATTAGTGGACATGGTTTTGCCGCAAAGCGCAAAGATGAAATTAGCCTTTGTGAGGTCTTCTGTACTTTACTTACCAGGGAATATAAGTTATTGTGGATCTGTCACTTGTGTAAGGCTCCTTTTATTAAATACATTTTAGTAAACAGTATGATATTTGTTCAAAAAGGATACAAAGTTTGAAATGTATTTAAATAGGGGATATAAGTACAGAATTTACTTTACAGGTATAGATATTTACGAAAATAAAACAAACAAAATAAAACATTGCACGTTTATTTATTGAAGCAACAATATTATATAACAATAATTATATATATTTATTCATAAAAATATTCGAAACTTAAGCTTCTCACTTGTACAAATTAGGACCAAAGATGACAATCAACTCTTTATGTTTTCCATGTATCAAAATCAGTCGTTTTCTTTAGTCTTTCAACAGTTTTTACTATCACATTTTTTCAATTTCCTCGTTTGAATAAAGCAATACAAAACGTATTAGGATAATTGCATCACATAGACCGATTTTAGTAACTTTTATTTGTTTATAATTCGTATTTTTTTCCTTAATATATGAAAAGTTATTATTTCTTTATATATACTGGATAATTAAAGAACAATTAATATATTAACTTGTATATTACTACTTGTAGATTGCCCATGAGTTTAATAATTTTGTTTATATTTCAGTTATTCTTTGTTATATTAACATAAATTTTAACAAAAAAAAACTGGGTGTGGCACTCCGGGAGTAATCGTGGAGAGGGAGAATAGGTTTCTTATCGTCTACTAACGGAGCGATGGCTTTTAATTTTTTTAATTCAATTCGATTCTATTATTTTAATTTTATTTTATTAAGAAACACGCATGGAACTGCGTTTACTACTTCACAGTAGTATGTGATTGCGCGATCTGTCATTACATTATGTTTCATTGCGTTTCTTTTGTTTTATTTTTTCACACAATCTGCGCGATCCATAGCATCGATCAATGCATTTCGTTTGTGGCCTTCGATAAGAAAGCTAAGCTTAAAAAAAGTGTTTCTCGAAGAATATGTTCTTTCATTTTTTATAAACGTTTTAGGCGCTTGAACAATGATTTCCTTAAAAAAAGACCACTTGAGGGGTCACAAACATCACCAAATACCAGAGGAATATGCAAGTTGTGTAAAAGGAAATGGTTCGCAAAAACAACCAGCGAACCTAAAAAAACTTTGCAAAATTTGCAGAATTTTAGATACCAATGATAATATGTTCCGTAAACTATTAAAATGCTGTTTATTGCATTCATTGGCATAATCTTTGGACTATCTTTATAAAACTTGTAAGGATAGTTATATAGAATTTGAAAAAGCATTCGATAAGGTGGAACATTGGGCAATAAAGAACTCTTTACAAAATGGGAGAATAGACTTAATATTATACGGACTTAATTTCCAATATATCTGATCAAGCAACAACATCAAGGATACGCCCTATCACAAAAACATTTCTAATATATATGGTGAATTTGTCATAAGACAGTCCCTAGAGGGGTGGAGTAACAATACCTTGAAAAAAAAATTTTAACTTAAGATTCGCTGATTCTGAAAGCAAGAATGTCGGCCTAAAAGTTAATAAAAACAGGACAAACTTAATGGGAGTACAAAATATCTCCATATTTTCCTCTCAAAGTATGAAAGTACTTAAACGAAGTGTTTCCAAATGCTTGTTAGTTGGATTGGGAATACCAAAAGGATTGGTAGAATTAATTAAAATGACAATGAGGCAAGTTGAATGTCAAGAGTGGGTACAAGGGGATCTTTCAGAACCATTTACAATTAACAGAGACTGCGTAAGGGAGATACGCTATCATGCACGCTTTTCAGCGTTAGAAAAAGTTATGAAAGATTCATATTCATTCATCCAAAAAGGGAGAAAACACACGAGGAAATATATGCTAAATAGCAAACTATAGCCTAACAAATATCAATTTAAGGAAATTTTAAATTCAATCATTGACGGCGCGTAAGAAAATATGTTTCCTTGCTGATCACTTTACACTATATCCAAAAAATGTATTTTTCTGCTTATAATAATAAAAATAATACATTAGATTTAGTAAATAATTTTTCATTCACATGAATGTGTCGACTGAGAGGATGAGCGGAACTCGACTATATATCTAAAGATGAAAAATACTCAAATTAGTATATTCTTTTTATTTCAGAAGGATATCCAATTATTTCGCCTGTCAATAAAAAGAGTATTAGCAACGGCAGATGTACATATATCTTCTAAAAACATGCCAAAATCCCTACAATTGATTCTACGTCTTACGGCAGTAAACAGAACGGAATGCAATTGTCAAGATTCGAAGTTTATTTCTGAGAAAAATTTAATTCTCGTGACTATCAAATAACAGAGAAGTCTATTTAATAACGGAATTATCAATGTGCTCAAATTATGTCGAAATGTATTTATACAGCAAAATAAAGACACAAAAGATGAATCAGCAGCCGAATCAGCAGATTGCTGCAACTACACAACGAACCAAATACTTTTATTTTATAAACGTCAATAAAAAACTAAAAATTCCGTCAAGGAAAAACTGAAATACAAAAACGTTTAACTTGCATGGTATGGAATATGAATAATAACAGCCCAACAATATGAATTTTAAATATTTTTGATGCTGTGATTTAAAAAATGAATTCTGTTTTTCATAGTAACTTTGTTTGGAATCGATTGTATAATTTCAATTTTGCTCGAAAAGATATACACAAAGGCACCTGAAAATTACCAGACGGATCTACAGTAACTATGATAGATCATTCTATTGTATACACAAGACACCATACACACAAGAGGAGCATATGCGGATTCTAATCACTACTGGGTCGAAAGTAGGGAAATGGCCAGAATTTTAAACATTTAAAAAAGGAAAAAACATGAACGATACAATGTAAAAGGAATCAAAAATAGATCAAACTAGAAACATAAATGAAGAGTGGGAAGGGAAGAGAATACCATGAAAGAAGCAGCTGAAGAATTACTAGGCATGGAAGGTAAACAAAGAAGAACTAAAACAAAGAGGAGGAATATAAATAACCACGTAAGGAAGAAAAGAACATCCACTGCAAAGAGAAAAGAGAAAATATGAACAAAGAACTTTCAGAACGACAAGATCTAAGTAAGCCAATAAAGATGAGAAAATTTTACCAGAAACTGAACAAAAACAAAATAGAATTCAAACAAAATAGCTGAAGAGATAACGAGGTTAATATATTGACAAAAAAAAAGATGCAAGAAAACCTAAGATGGAATTCCAGAATGCGAACGAAAATTATATGATAACTTAAGACATCATTTCTTTGCTGGAGTATAGCATATCCATAACTTAATGTAAGACACTAGATATTTAACAACCAAAGTAGAGAGTCATGGAATCAAAAACTCGAGATGAAGAGAGAAAGAGAGGGGGAAACCAAAGTTTAGATAATAAGCTGACTTTTAACAAAATTCTAGAAAATTACCCAGACAAAGATATGTTAAAATTGTTCAAAATACAGAGAAATGATATACAAAAGAAGGCGTGTGTTTAAACATTAGATATCTGTATCTAATAGATATATAGATGCCATTAAGACTTATATAATTTTCCTATAGTCAAATTTATGTTTGGAAAAATAATCTGGCACTATTATATCCATAATAAAGAAGCCTAAACTCCCTTTCATACAAGGCAATCTTTTTTTCTGTCAAAGTGAGCGCTTGTCTTAATTTATTATCACAATTATCAGCTGCTGATGTCTGCTCTTTGATCCTGACTTTATCATTAATAAACTTTTTCGTTACAGACTGAAACCAGTGTAAACTATTAACTTGTTCATGTTGATTTAATATTTCCACAATATAAGCCAAACCCAATGCAAATCCATCATCAGTAAAAGTATACTCTGTTTTATTTCTTTTGTTTAAACGTTCTTTACAGTTCAAGGAATGTTCTATGTAATTAACCGTTAAAGGAGGAACAATGACATAAAAATATTTTAAATGGATGTTAGCTTTGTTTCTTAATACTGGAACAAAAACTTTTACTAGCAGCTGGAAGTATTCAGTGGCATCTTCTATGTTATCCAAATACATCTGTAAGTTTTCTAGTAAACCATCTGCAGCTTTTTTTGTTAGATCCAGCAACTCTTCATTTTGTACAGCTTCTTTCAGAGAATTACTTTTCAAATTGGGAATGAAGCAAGTTCCGTCAGCTAAACATCTTCTACCTCCTGACCGGATTAGTCTAACATATCCCATAGCGTTACCTATATGAGTTATTACTTTTCTGAATAAATCTAAATAGCTTTCACCATGTTCATTAAGGCCAAGTTTCCTTATTCCTATATTAAATTTTTCGGCTCTCTCGTAAGGATACATTTGGTTCAATTCCAGTTTATGCTCTGAAAAAAAGCGTAGATCTTTTATCAACCTTGATTTGATGTGTTCATCATAAATGAACTGTGAAAATATATGAAACTTGGTCCTCAAAAATTGGTAGGTGAAGTTAACTGTGGTGTTCATTATTCCTAGACCATGGGTCCTAATTGAGTTTGCCACTTGAGATATATTTATAGAATTTAAATGTTTATTGTCACTATTTCTTTCTATAAAAACTTGCGAATTAAGATTGTATAAATATTTACTTACAAATACATTAATATTTCGCATAATTTCTAAAACATCTAATCCTTGTTCTAATGTTTGAATGGGTAAATTATCATCTACAGTATCAAGACTATACTGTAAATAGGCCAACCTTCTCATTTCCCCATAAGTTTTCCAATTGTGCAATACTACAGATGTAAGATTGTAAAATATGGTACTCAAATGATGTTCAACTTCATTTTTTATATTCTTATATTTACCATGTAAAGGCACAGGTAGATATTTATTAAAATTTATAGAAAAATAATTATCAAATGGCTCCATGGGTGGTAATTGAAGATGCAAATGAGTCTGTAACCTTAAATTTCTTTCAATTATCTGCTCCAAAGGATCATACAATGATTCTTTTATAATATTATGTGACAGTTCACTGTGGAAATCATTCAGAGCATTTAGAACTAAGTAATGCCTGGATAAATCTGATTTTGAATCTACAATTTTTTTAAAATAAACTGGGAGCATAAAATTTTGATGCCAATACATAAAAAAACAACTACTGGTTTCTCTTAAGTCTCTAGAAAATGATACAATTGTTTCTAGTTGGGATAACACATGTCTCATCTTAGATAAATCATTTGAATATAGTCCACTTGCTGATAAACATAAATTAGCTACCAATATACTACGAGAAGTAACAGCAGACCTCAAGACTTGTTCACAAAGGTTTAATGATGAAAGAACATCTAGTTGTCTTTCATTGTATGATTTTTCTTGTGTAAATTGTTTTCTGATATTGTTTAATAAACTTAAAGCTTTATGGGACAGATGTTGCGTTGTTAATAAAAATATGTATGTTAATGATACCATATGTTTCTTAAAAATTAGTGGAATGCACTTTAGGACTTCTACTAATTTACATATAGACAATAAAACAGATTTTTGTACCGGCAAGTTTTTATCAACATGTAAATTGAGAGTCCACTGTACAGAAAAACTAATTTTTTTGAGAAGTTTGAGACCATTATTTAAACACATCACTATTCCTTGTAATTCTCGAACTTTAATGTTATTTGTGTCTAGCTTTGATATATGTTCCAATTCCATTAAAAAATAACAAACCTGTAAACAAAGACTACTGCTTTCTTTTGGAAAATTACTATTTTTAACATTTACTAAATTCAGTCTATGATTTTCAATGGCCCTCTCATCAATGTATTTTTCTAATATACTTAAATGCTTTAGTAAAAACTGTTCTGGATACCACAAAACATTCCCTATTAAGGTACAAGTTGAATGTTTCTTATTCACATCTAATACTCGTTTTATTAATTTTTTGTCAGCACTTTCAAATATTGTGAAATAAAAAATTACAAAGATATTCATCTTTAACCAAATATCACTCTGAAGTTCTTCATCTTTCTCTAACTCTGCCAAGAGTAAAACTATAAATGCATGTAATTCTTGATTTACTGTACAATTTTTCATTTGATAGTAGAAAGATTTGTCTTCAAAACATTTTTCTATGACATCTTTTAAAATGTGACCCATTAACAGATCATTTTCAAACACTTGCAACATTTTATCTAAAGATCTAACTTTACTTCTATCAACTGATAGTTTGTTAGAGTGTGATATGTTTCTAATAGATGTTCTATACCAAAACCAGTGGTCTTTAAGAATCTGGATGTCTAACAGACCATCAAATTTTAATAAACAAATTAAAAGATCCCCAAGTTTATGAAGTACTTCTGGAAATGCACAATAATTACCAGAAGAATATATATTTTTTCCTAACAAACAACTCATTTCTTTTAATGCTAAAATAACTACAGAATGAACTCGTTTAACAAAAAAATGTATTTTTTGTAATGGCTCCAATATTTTACTCACTGAAGAATGTCTTGAGGCTCTATCTATGGAATCTTCATATAACACAAAAGGTTGATACAATGTTTCAGCTTCAGAAACTAATTCACTGATTTCATTACATATTCCACCTAAAGTAGCTAGTATTCTACTTAAAATTTTGTTATCAGAGTGTACTAAATACCCTATAGATTCACTGCTATGGACTTTTTCTTCAATCACAACTAGCTGAGTAGTTACATTGTACTTATTGAAAAATTTATCTTGCTGAGCTGTAGTATCTTCAACAAATTGCTCTATAAACGAACTAAACCTGTGGAGTTGTGCCTCCCCAATCAGTCTATTTGTTTCTGCATTAAATTTCTTTTCTGCAAGGTTGGAAGGCTCCCACATTTTTATTTGTTTTCTGTATCATCTACAAGAACCTGAAAGTTTACATTAAATACAGTTAACAACAATAAATATTCCTGGTATATAGTCTATAGTTTTCTTTAGGATCATGCCAATGAAGTGGTTATCATATCAGTCAATTGTTATTGTACAAATTGTTTTGTCTGAATTTTATTTATGGATTTGAAATTGTAATGCAGAAATGTTAAAAAACTATTAATAAGAAAGCACAATATACAAAACGAGCTTCTTTTGAGTTTTTCTGTTCTTAAATCCAAAGAAAATACTGAAATTCGTCAATTAGAGTAGTTCATTTGTAAAACTTTTTTAAAAATTAACTTTTGGCATATCCATCTAACGTAATTATTAACAATTTTCACATTTTTTTTACTTACATTACTCTCTAAATTTTGTATAAAACTTTTAAAATATTTGGAATACACCTACTTTTACTATTGTTTTGACAACCTGTTAAATATTATTATGTCAGTGATAAGTGATAAACGTTGGTCAGCTTCATTTTTCATAGCCCTGGAATGTAAGTTTATTCAGCTACAGGTTTTATCATTAGCAATATTTACATATTGTAACCAAAGAGGAAAAAACAATTGTTTCTTATTCTCTAAATTTAATTTTTAGCTGGTTGAATGAAAATATCAAGAAAGGTTTAACTGGAGCGGCAAATTTTTTTTAAATCTTTGGAGGTTAGACACTTTTCAATAAAATATACTGTATTTTTTCTAGAATAAAAATTCTAAATTTCTATCTTGAATCACACCAATCCTTCCAAAAACCTACAAAAGTGACCAAACCATCTTAACTTATTTTCTCTAATTCTGAGATCAATAATTGGTGTCATGATACATGATATACTATATGATTTGTGTTTAATAATATTTTATATAAATGGAAAACTAGGGATATGGAAAGTAAACTGAATGTATAGTGACAGTGAGAATTAACCTTTAATTGGTGTCACGCCACAGAATAATAAACAATCAGAATGCCCACTCTCAGATGCCGCCTTTGAATTTTTTCAGCACGCGCGCCATGTTTTAGAAGGAAACACATAACACAGTCATATGATTTGTGAGGTTATGTAATTGTTTATATTTATGTTTAATTGTATTATATTTATGTTTTTATATTTAACACTGTTAATATAATTGTATAGTATGTCTATGATTGCCGTAAGTCAATTTAACCGGGTTAATTTTTCTATGCCCACCACTGGTTCCCTCTAAAACATGGCGGAACGTCTGCGCGAAGGAGATGCGCGCATGATACTATCGCAATATCTTATCTTCTTATCATAGTATCATGGATGCGCGTACTAAATTTTCCATAGAGAGTGGGAATTCTGTTTGTTTATTATCCTGTGGTTACGCCATCGAGCAATAAGACAAAAGAGGGAATGTAAAGGTAGAAGGGGTAAACATATTGATAGACAGGAAGTGCCATCTTGAGAGGCCACTTTAGACAAGGATAGACTGTCTCTTTCCTTGTTTAAGAAGTCAAATTTAGTTTGGTTATGTTATTGTTTGTCCCAACTGTCACATGAAATTTTATTAATATTGAAGTTTTTTACCAATTGTGTCACTTTTTAGACTATTATCGTTAATATTTAATTAAAACTTTCTTGTCTGAAAAATATTTTACAGGTATTGTTAACAAGTGTTGGAAAATTTAAATTTAGCGCCTTTGCATTTCCGGATATGCCCGCCATCAGAGGCCACTTTTTTGGTCTCCTTTTCATAATGATTAGATTCCCTCTTTTGTCTTATTGCTCGATGGGTTACGCCCACAAATCACATTATTAGTGGTCTGTGATCACGCAGACCACAGAATAAATAACAATCAGAATGCCCACTCTCAGGTGCCGCCTTTGAAGTTTGTCAGCAGCGATCGCCATATGTTAGACGGAAACATAGACTCGAATTGAAAAATTTGTGACAAGCTACGATAGAACTGTAATTAAATTTTTTAGAGATTAATAATTTAGTACATTTGAAATAATTTAATCTATTCTTCAACTAAAAGTACGAATAAAATAGTACATTTACTATGCACAAATTTAACCTTAGTTAATTTTCTATGCACACCAGATAAAATGCCACTGAACAGCACAGTGGTTCCAACTAAAACATGGCTGATTCCGTCTGCGCGTACTTATTTTCTCAAGCAGAGTGGGCATTCCGATTATTTATTATTCTGTGCCTAGACTTTCCCTAATATACTTATTCTTAATTTTTTTTCATTTTTTGTTACTTCCATCCATGATGTTACTCTCTCTTTCTTTTTAACTGTCATTACATCATAGCTAATTTAATTCTTCCAGCATCTCTGGACGTGATTTAAATCAGATCGACGAGTAGGTACCTATGATAGCATATAGTTGATGATTCAGGTTTATTTTAATATCTTGGTAATATAATAATTACTTAAATATATTATATAAAAATAATAATAGTTTATATATAATAATATAATATATAATAATCATTATTTTGTTATAGGAAAATAGAAGAATTTCACCGCTACGTGCATGGCTGTGTACACATGCACATTCAAGCTTAGAAAAATTCCAACAGCTAGAAGTCTCCGACTATTCGAAGCCATTGATATTTCAAGCAGAAACCCCAATGAGAAAATTTGTAGCATACATAGATCCAGAAAATAAATTCGCTATTGAAGATAAACTGTCACAAATTAACACTTTACAACAACTACAAAATATAGCTAGCTATGGATTTTTGAAAAAAAGACTGGAAAAACACCAACTTCACATACATGCCTTGTGGTTCGATATTTACACTGGGGATATTTATTATTTTAGTAGGGGAGCTAAAAGATTTGTTCTGATTGATGAAGATAACGTTGATAAACTGCTACAAGAAGTTAAAAAGTACTATTCATAGGGTAAAGCCAGAACGTGATACAGATCTATTTTTCTTCCTTTTATACTTAAAATATTTTTATACTAAGGATATAATTAAAATTTTTCATTTTTTATTTATACATTAGGAATATTTGCTCTTATATAGTTTAATATAAAATGTTTTTATATACTTTACCATGTAAGAGTATGATTAGGTTGTTTTGTATAAAAACAGTTTATTTTAAAGCGTAGTTTTATATTAGAAAACTTACCTTTTTGTGTTATTTCTGTCTACAAATAAATGTTGGATTTTCACGTTTTCAAATACTTGTAAAACATTTTTTTGCTTTTATAATCTTATATCTTCTAAATAAAAGAAAACGGGTCATTTTCATCATAAAGGTGGGGCGGCGATGAGTACGGAGGGAGAAAATATCACTCAATGTTTCTTTTAGTTTATTTTGTTTTGAGGAGTGAGATTTTTATTTTGAACTTTGTGAAAATATAATTCAGTTTACATAAGTCATTGATTTCTAAGGCTTTTTCAAAATAATATTTTTAGGGTTTTCAATAAATGAATAAATTATTCATTTTATGGGAATTTACGTATTTTCATAATTTTTCAAGTTAAAAAAAAATTGTGACACACTCTGACAGTGGAAATCTATTCTGGTCACTCTTATAATTGGCTCGCACATTCTAAGTACTTGGCCCTTTTTGAAGGTGATCTTGTCATTTGGGTTGGCCAATCTTACTACAACCGTCTTCTTCTCCCCATTTACCAAACGTCTATCCAGAATGACACCTTCATGACCCTGCTCTTCTGGTTCTAATAACATGGGTGCCAAGCCACATCATTTTATGCTAAACAAGATCTTTTAGCTGTAGCGTCTTCTGCTACTAACATCACAGCATAGGATTTGTTTCCTATGCTGTGCTAACATCTTCACTATATTTTGCTGATGTTCGGACATGACTTCGACGCCCAGGATGAACTCATCTAAGATGTCGGCTATTAGAACCGCTACTTCTCTATAAACGTATCCTAGTTCGATTTTTACACATCTCTTCCCATAAACACTTGTGTTTTGCCTGTTGTTGTCTCCAGTATGAGAGGTCTCGTTATTGTCCTTATAAACGACTGGTACAAGAAACGTTCATGATACTATGACTATAAGATAAGATATTGCGCATGTTTTTGTGACGTCATTGGAGACTTGCACGTTCGAAATGTCAGTTTTTGTATATATCAATAAATAATCTTTAATAAATAGTTTAGAGATATCCTTATGTGTACGATTATTGTAATTATTAAACCTCTTAACTTATTTTCGTCTAGTAATTTCATCACAGAATGCATACAAATCTCATTTAACTTTAACAAGAATTCAAATTCTAGTCTCCAATGACGGCATGCGCGAACCCGACCGATTTTGAGCTACGGGAAGATCTTATCTTGTTATTCATAGTATCATGGAAACGTTTACTCGTCAGTGACCTTGTTATACAGCAGGTTATAAAACTTCATCTGTGGCCATTGGGAAGTCAACGGCAACTAAACTGTAGCTACCAATGACGTATAATATATAGACTCGGTGAACGCTTTAAAAGTGTCCAAAACATGAATACCTTTGTTATTGTTTATTGTTTTGATACGAAGATACACGAAGTTCATGATTTCTTACGAAGCATCACGAAGTTGATCTTGTGTTTGAAAACATCATGGACGTATGAAAGCATTTTCTCCATTTTGTGTGACAAGCAAATTTTATTTTAAATTGTTGAGAGTTATTTACTTACTATTTTAGTAAAATGCCATACTATTTTATCAATATAATTATTTCTCTTATAGATGGGACAAAAAGAAATCATAAATATTTAATTTTAATTAAAAAAATAATTATTGTCATTAAAATATAAATGAACACGCCGCTGTTCTAATAAACATACCTTCAACCTTGAGCCGAGATCTTTCGGACACTCGATTCTATAGCGAGAATAGGGGACTGCGTAGTCTATATATTATACGTCATTGGTAGCTACTTTGTCTTATTGTGAATATTGAGAATCTGGGGGCTTCGGGCAGAGCAGCCAACGTGCGCCCCTTGACATTGGTTGCTTCTAGTTTGCCGAATTACTTTGCTATTGTGGAGATTGCTAGCCGGTCGATCTTGTACTTTGTCTGCAATCACTTGTTGAAGGTGGCCCTTGACTTTTTGTTCATCTGTATGTTGAAAAAAAGTTTTGGGCTTTATTTATTATGATCTTATATGTATAAAACAATATTTCAAGTGAGAAGTATTCATCTATGGGAATGATAAAAGGCAAAAGCGAATAATAGGCATTCCAATTAAAACGGCCACCCAAAGTAGGTCAGTCAATATTAGGACGGTACATAATACTTGAAAATCACACATGTGATCTAGAAATGTTCCAGGGATAAATATTTAAGTAAACTTTAAAGTAAGCAAAAAAGCATTTTTATATCATATATTTACATTAAGGCATTGATTGACCTATTTCTATATTTTTTAAATAAATACAGACTGAACAATTAATTGACTAATTAATTTTTCAGCGTCCACTCCATTTTCTTTTATACCATGCTTTCTGAATAGTGAGTTGATTTCTGAACAGCCTTCTTTTATATGTTCAATTTCTATGGGACTATTTGAACATATGAATATTTCGTTTAGATCTTCTTGTAGTTTGTAACTAAGAATGTTTTGGAAATGGGTCTTTAGAGACGCTAGAACTCCAGGCCTGAGGGAATTTTCTCGAAGGACCACATTTAGCACAAATATACCTAAAAATAATACAAAGCCGTTGAATACTACGGAAAGAGAATATTGACTTTTACAAAAATGTAAATTTATTAATTTCACCGGAAGTAAAAATATATCATTCTTTGTCTTATGTAAGACTTAAGTTATGCGACATGTGCTGTAATGTTTAAAATTTTGATAAACTAAAAAATATTTAAAAAAGTTTTATTTACAAATCGTTTATAAAAGGTATATAATTAAAAAGACCCTTTCGGGCTACATCATAACAAAACGTTTTCGTACCCACTCTATTGAAGATATATGACGTGACGAATGTTAACTTTTAATCGCTCAAAGGGTTGAATTTTTCTATTCAAGCAGATAAATTTTAACGACAGAATTTGTTACGTCTTCAATGAGGCAATTCAATAGGATTATAAGAGGCTGTTGCCAAAACACAGATACGGCCAGTGGCGTATCGGGTGTATATTGAAGGAAATAAAAAAGTAAACTAAAAAAATTTATACATTTATATATTATTATTAATACCTACCACGCTTATCTAGTATTCTTACAACATTCTCCAGGACTGGTTTGTCTAAAAATCCCTGTGGAGGACAGCTCATGCCAATAGAAGAGTCTTTGCTATCAACATCAAATAAAAGAGCATCTATTGTTTCACCTGAAAAAAATTCATGAGGTTGATAACCTTATTTATTATTTACGAAGTAAAAAGAACCCAATCTGGCCATGGCATCGTCAATCAATCAATATATATATTTTAAGTATCCAGTCATGACGAAGAATCAAAAAGTTGTTAATATCATGACACGATTAAATCACGCATTACACAATAAAGAAATGCATACGCAAATGATAATTGCAAAGAAAGCAAGAAAATTATTCTTTAAACATGTTTTATACCTTTTTGTGCCGATTCTTTCAAATAGTCCAAACCATTTTGTATTCTAGCCTTCAATTTGTCATCTTCTTTAAATTCAAACCATTCCTTTGCGATCTTCAGCATGTCTTCGTCAATGTCAATACCAAGAATATTAGTCTTAGGAAGGAATTTATGTAAAAAAGAGCATAGACCGCCGCCTCCTAAACCTACAAAAGAAACGGTCAAAATTGTGTAAGCAGATAAATTTTTAAGCATATGTTTATTAGCACAACGGATTTATTCAATCAGTGCAAAACAGAGAACTTTTATATGAATGTGTATTATATTGGGAAAAGCTGTAGTTTATTTGTACAGTGTTTTAATTGTGACGAGGAAGTTCATATATCTACGTCCACTTGGTGTCCCAAATTCAGGGGAATTATAAGAAGAGCAAGAGGTGAAGGTGAAAGAAGGGTAGGTTACTGTTAAGCGATAAAATGGGGAATAAGCGTGAAAGAGAACGTGTGTTAAGAGTGCTGTAAATAAATGTTGGGGCAGCTAGACTAGTCACGACCTCGCTGTGGTATCCGCAATCGAAAAAGAAATTGACATCCTGATAGCGGCGGAGCCGAAAGTGGGGAGCACGTAAAAGCGGTGACTCAAAGAGCTGCGGTGAGATCCGCCGCATTGGGAGGGATCATGCCCAACATCGGAGGGCCAACTGGAGGAGGTCATATCTGTTGTGCAATCGATCGTCCTCTACGCTGCGCCTGTCTGGAGTTCTGCAGTTTTAACAAAGGCGTACAGAAAGCAGCTCACCCGAGCAGATAAGAAGAGTCTATGAGGGGCGTGTGCATACAGAACAGTCTCTGTCGCGGAGTTAAGAGTTATCAGCGTGTGAATTCAGATGCACGTGCTAGTGAAGGAAAGAGGAAAAATATACAAAAGAAGAAATGAAGACAGAGCAACAGAACGTTTAAAAACAGAAGAGGGAAAGGTCCATAATGGTGTGAGAAGAGGAAAGGGATGACATGAGAAGGGTGGCGCAGTGGACGAAGTCGTTGATTCCTAATCTAAGAAGATGTATGGATTGCGGGCACCGGCGTTTGGAGTATTTCCTGCCGCAGATGCTCACAGGACATGGTTGCTTTAGGGCATGTCTTTACAGATTTGGAAAGGCAGAAAATGACAAACGCCTGTATGGTGAAATATCGGACACTGTCTCACACACTCTGTTTGAGAGAGAGAGAGCTATGCTTAGAACAAGAAGAAAGGTGACCCGAAGATAGGCAGGGTGCCCAGGACCAAGCAAGAAGATAAGGCAGAATGAGAAGGGGTGAGATTGAACGTGAACAGAATGGAATAGAGGGAGAGAAGAATTCCGTTGTAGTGAGAAAGTGTTAGAATGCGTGAGAATTGTGCATGAATGAAAGTTCGGTGCCGTGCCGAGGTTGCGTTCCAATCAGGGCGATCCGGCCGGTAATTTACCGCTGAGGAGGGTGTTTTTTTTAACAGGTAGGTCTCTATCATCGTGGCCACGCTAGAGGAGTCCTGCATAACTGAGGCTGCAAGGCGGTTCTGCCTACTTTCTAGGACAGAAGTATGTTTCGAACATTTGGACCACCACCCATTTTGGAAGATTATTAGTTAATTAAAATAAGGTAATTTTTGTTTATTGAGTGTTACATACTGAATATATCACATAAGTGTGGAAAAAGTTCCATGTTATTCAATTGCTTTTAGTCAAAAATTCAACTTAAACTCACCAACAACTGAAATATTTGATTTCGTTTTCCCCCTACAGGCCACATAACTAGCAATTGTCATATAAATGTGATGTCTACAAGTTAAATATATTAAATCAATGACTTCTCGTGTTGCACCTTTCCTCGATTTGATAGTTCTTATTTTCGCTTCAGACTGTATCACATTTTGGGAATTCATATAGAACAGTCGTCTGTACTTTTCGTCGTTTTCTGTGATCACATCTTCTATCACAAAATCCCCAGAAGCTTCGGAATGTCCTTCGTGTTTGATTATTCGATGTCCTACGTCCGATCCAAGCGAAAGAAAAGGAATCTAAAAACAAAAACGGGTAATAAAAAAATAACTTGGTTTCTGATTGATTAATCAGTTCTACTCGAGCATCAGGAAGAACAGAACTAATCTGATTTGCCAATGGCAAGTCTGACCTTGCTGAAACATTGTCAAAACAATGGTTTTTCTAAAAATCAAAATTATTCAATGTGAGTGCCAAACACAGAAAACTACATAAATACAGTATAAGTACTTGTCAAGCATTGTGTAATGAGTTTTAGTGTAGCTTTAGATCTTTCCACATTGCGATCTGAACAATATTTTGTCTATATCCTATACCTATGTTTGTGGCTTTCATAGTCTTAAGCCAATGCTTTTGAGTTGTCTTTATGTTAAAAGTTACTTTGCTCTCCTCTGTTCATGGCATGCTGTTGTTCAAACAACTTTTTTGTTATTTATTCCTGGCCTCATAACAGGTTAGGAATATATGATGATTCTTGACCTAGTTCTTGCCAGAAGAGGGCGAATGAAACATGAATCAATGTGACTTCCTGTGCTATTCTGAGCTTCCACAGATCAATGTAATGATCTTAAATTAATCAGTTTGATGGAATTTGTGACGGACTTTTCACTCTGGGTGGGATATAACCTCCTTTTTAGTTGGTCCCATTTGGGCAAAGTTTATTACAGAACATAGTTTTTCTTTCAGATAGGTCACCAAATATAGAACAAATTATCATAGACGGAAGAAATAAATAAAGCAATATAAGGGATAAACAAATTAGGTATTTTAAAAATGGAAGATGTTGGCATATTTGTATTAGCCCCTTACTTACTTACCTGTTTCGTTTTTAAGCCAGGTGGTGCCAAGTTACAAATAAAATCAGTCAACTCTACTTGAACTGCATCAAATGATTCATACTTTTGACCTCTGTGTAAAGTTATAATCGCTAACCTGTTGTTCCTTGTTATTTCTACCAATTTTTTTCTTCCATTGGGTGTCGAAAATAGCCATTCAGCTTCCCTAATTAACAAAGGTTAAAAAACTGTCATCTATGAGTATGTGCACATACATGTTGTGGAAGTCCCTGCAATTAGCCAGGTAAGGATGCAATTTCAAACACAGCTTGTGTGCATACTAAACGAGATTGAAAAGGATTACTTAATCGGTAAAGAGCCATGACATGGACACATTTGTTTTTAAAGGATAATAAACCCATATCTTGAAAAAAAAAAGTTGTGGCACTCTGTCTTTACAGTCCTTCATGTCGTTCATCTTTTATCTTATCATACATCTGCGATTGATACACCGCTCCGTCGTAGTTCGCGAAATGAAAACTACTTTCTTTACTTATATAAAAGTTTACAAGATAATCTTTTATCATCATTATGTGACAAACTTGTTTGAGAGCATATAAAGGTTGGCTAAGATATCCCATTTAATAGTTTTATGACATTTACTTACTTACTCCGTGGCGTTACAACACTTTGTGGGTTTTAGCTGACTCGACAACATGCCTCCACTGTTTTCTGTCTTGAGCAACCTCCATCCAATTCTCCACGTACATAGTGCTTAGGTCTCCTGCTATATTATCTCGCCACCAGAGAAGAGGGCATCCACGTGGTCTTCTTCCATTTGGGACTTCCTCCTACACCAGCCTTACTGTTCGATAAGTCAAAAAGTCTTCTGCAGGTGTCCTGCCCATTTATATCTTCTGGACTTTATTTCTTTTATGATGTTGGCGTCTGGGTAAAGTTCTTCGAGCTCTTTGTTAGTTCTTATATATTGTTCCTATATTGTCCTGATGCTTCATCCAGCACAGGACCAAAGATCTTCCTTAGGATTTTTCTTTCCCAAATACATAGTCTCTCTTCGTTTGCCTTTGTTATCGTCCACGTTTCGCTTCCATACATCACAATGGGTCGTATGATTGTTTTATAGACCTGTATTTTCATATGTCACATTAGTTGTTTCGATTCTATAAGGTTTTGGAGGGCAAAAAGACATTCTTGTGATCCGTTATTGTCTTCAGTTATTGTTGTCCAAGATACTTGAATTCTCTAATGCACTCAAAGTTAAAGTCATTGATGGTAATGTTCTGACCGATTCTATCTCTGCTTTGGTTATTGAGGCACATTTTGACATTTACTCTGTTTAAAATATACTCCTAACTAAAAGATGATCTGATTTGTTTTCAAGCAAATATCTTGCTATAAACCAGTTGTGACTCATCCCGAACTGCCAAGAATATGGATTCTCGCATTGTTCTAATATAGAGTTGAGATTTTTGCATTTCTTACAACAGTATGATCCACACAATTCAACCCTGTATGTGCATATACTATAATGATTTGGTAAGTAAAAATAAGATTTTTTAATAAAGGTTATGATCTTAGTGTTACTACCAAAAATGTCTAATATTAAAACTTGAGTATTAAACATATCAACATTCATACAATTTGTGTAAGGTATAATAGATATAATTAACAGAAGTCCAAAATCAATAAACTATTAGGAAACTTTTGGTTCATTATGTTTACACAGAAAATCTTTATTTCCACTTAATAAACTTTTCTTTTGCTTATTGAAATAATATTTATTGCAATAATATATCTAAAAAACATTCACAAAAGAGTTTAACACAAGGATATTAACCAAAACAACTTCAACCCTTTACAAATATCAGTGTTAACAAAATTGTGAAATATATGATGTCATAACTGATGCACTAAGCGGAAAATAGAAGAATTGAGAATTTAGAGAGAAGAAAATTGAATTGTAACATAGAAAAAAATTCTTACCTTCCTTCTGGGACAATAAATGCTGCATACTTAGAGAAATCTTTCTGTTGAGGAATATCAACTACATATACTGTAAACCTAGTACCTGATGAACCTTGTTCAAAAAGTTCTAACACCACTTCACTTTCTTCAGCTATACATGTCCTTTTCAAACCTGAACAAATAAATGCTGCATTTTGTGTGTCTCGAACCTGAGCTAGGAGTTCGCTAGAATTATTGCACCTATGCATTTTATCTGCAGAACCTAAATTCAATTCTAAAACCTAAAATTAATTCAAATTTTAACTTTAAAGTTTTTTATACTTAAAAAATGGTATGATTCATTAAGAATATTGGCACATGTGACTTATTTATGCTCAAGATGAAGTTCTACCAGTAGGGTCAATATTTGTTTTTATAACTAATTAAATAAATTATATACTCTAGTACTAAAATACATTCAGAATGTTGAAATTAATTTATTAACATAATAAAGCTGCCTACCTTCTGAGTTAGTGCCTTGAACTTTGTACATACTAAAATAAATACAGGTAAGGAATTCTCTCCATTTTCAATAGCTTTCCTTTCTGCTTCAAAACACCTTACAATCCGAAACATAAAGTTATTGGAAGGAAAATATTCCAAAGCATATTTCAAGATATGTTCCTGAAGCAAAGATACACAAATATATCTTCCTCCAACTCTTAATACTCTTGAAATCTCATTGAAATATTTCTTGATATTTTCTATGGTTGCTTTTGAATCATCAGGCATTAAGGCATCTAAGGTACCTTTATCCAAGACTACACTAAATTGTTCATTGTCAAATGTCATGTTTAAGGCATCCATTTGTATATATTTTAAATTACTTCTTGGCTTTTCATTTTGTGATAACATCTGCCTTATTACTACTTGTGAAATATCAATATTTGTTATACTACTGCAATTTTAGAATGATTCAGTTAATAAAATGATTTTTTTTTAATTGTAATTTATAATGGTCCTGGTAAGGGTTTTGGAACATATGAAAGAAAACTGTCAGTACTTATGTATGAAGATGTTGATATGCCAAAAAAAAACAGAACCATCGGGTGAAATATAATTAGATAACTGAGCACAGAGTAATAGGAAATTCATAATAATCAATACTGATAGATATTAATAATGATAAAAACTATCATCCTTTTAGGGAATATCGAACAGCTAAGTTTTGGTGTACATGTGTTTAAGAACATGCAAACAGTGGTTTGCAACTTCTAGATGTTTTAGGGAATTTGTGGGAGATAACCCAGCATACAATCTCACCAAGAACTTGACACCACTGAAGAACACTCCTCAGGGCTCAATCACTTGGTACTTGGTAAGTATTAACTATCATGGATCAGTGAGTATTCTCTTGTCGCGTGGCTCAATTCTGCCGATAATGATAATTATATATAAAATTTCTGCAATATAACATACCTATATCCAATATCATAAAGATCTCTACCTAAAGTGGAATTACCACATCCTGTTATAAGGATATTATCCTGTTTTTTAATATATTTATGTAAATATTGCGATAATTCAGGATATTCCCCATACCTACAAAAAATATATCAAAAGAAATATTAAGATGATCTATTATTAAACGTTACCATTCAAAAGCTTTATTTCCTCTCTTCTTAAAAAATGTATCCCAGTACTCTTTTTGACTGAACTGTTCTTTAGACTTGGGTAACAAATTCATTTTTCTAAGCTTTTTTAATAATTTATTTAAAAAAAAAGAGGTAAACACATTTATAACCTTAAAATTTGCATTCTTCTTTTTTAAGTTAATAATAAACATTTCTTTTGGTTATTTCTGAGAACGTTGTCCGTGGTTTTCCCCTAATTAACTCTCCTAATAATACACTCTCCTAAGAGTGTACACAAAAAATAGATTTTACATTGTTATTCCAAACTACATATCTCTGTTCTAAACTAATAATTTTCGAAAAATTGTGTTTTATTGTATTGTATGATCCTACGATCGATCATGAAAGTGACAAAAAAAAAGAAGAAGACGAATTGTTGACAATAGCAATTTTAATATTTATATGATTTGATTTATGATAAAAGAAGATAACATACCTGGTAATTGATGATGTGATACCGATTTCTTAAAAATAATAACAGGATGACGAAGAGCCAGTTGTCTTTTAGGCTTCGACAAAATGCACCGCAACAAACTCGTAGGGAATCCCGCGATAAAAGTCACAAAAAACCTCAAAAACCACCACCAAAGTAAGTAAGGTTAAAACTACTAGTTATGAGAAGTTTAATTCCATATATACTTTACACTTTTAGTAAACCAGCAGAAGTTTCTAGCAGTCCCGGGTTAATATTTCCAGCAAGCGATACAGCTTTTAAAACACTTCTATCAGCAAGATTTTGCGCTGCAATATGGTCACACATATCAGATTGTGATGAAACTTTTAATTACTGGGAACCTATGCATTACTTAAGTAATTATATTTCTTAATTCCAAAAAACTAATGTCCCTTTATTTTTTAATATGTAATCTAAGGTCCTCAAACTTGTTGAAAACCATCAGATCTATGTAAGAGATCAGGTAGAAAAGATACTGAGATGGATGAGGTATTTAAGAATAAAATGTTATTTATACTTAAAACTAACCATTATAAATTTTATAAGGCAAAATGAAGACACTTCTTACTGACTTTTTTTTAATAAATCGATTGAATTATATATGTAGATATAAAAAGTAATAATCATACAACAGATTTTATAGTTATGAGCTACAGAATAGACATCAATTTCATGAAACATTCTTTGTAGAAATACTACTTCTCATTTTCAACACAGACATATATATTAACATAGACTGATCAGTCTGTAGAGCTAAGTGACAACTTCCCCACCATCTTTTTTTGTTATTCATTGTGTCTGTCTCACATTAAGTAAGTATAGCAGTGTCTCTTTTTGGTGGTGGAGAGAAAGAATGAGGAGTTTTAATATGCTAGAGAGAACATATTGAACCACAATAGATCTTGTCAACATTCTCAGCTGGGTCAAGCAAGTATGCTTGGTCTACATTAATATATATGTTGATGGTTCAACATTCTATGCTTTATTACCAAGAAAAGCTCATTCCTTCTTGGTTTGACAGAGTAGGAAGTTTCCTGAAAGTAATCAAATTAGTAGACCACTATAAAAATTGATATTTTTTTATTAAATTATAGCATTAGTGGGACTGCTGGCAAAAGTAAAAAACTTTTATAGACTAGCTTGGAAAACATCTTTTATATTGATAAAAATATCTAATTTCACTGAATCTCAAGACAAACATATGAGTTGAACGGATTGTGCTAAATGTGTTCAACTTACATTACACTATTAACGAATATTATGCTGATGCAAAATCCAAATTGTTTTCTTATCTAAAAGTATATTTTTTTCAAGCCTGTGTATAAAAGTTTTTACTTCAAAAGTTATAGTCTAGTGCAATTCACCTTGTTTATTATCTGTTATACAATTTTAACCTTATTCTCTTTTAGTTTTTGGTAAAGGCCTGCAAACTTGGGAGTACAGTCCACAGTTTGGACTGAGATCCTACTTTTATTTAATGCTACATGCAGCACCTGCTTGGATATATCATAAATTGGTACAACCCAATCCTTTACTAATGTTTTATTTTGTTAGGTGCATATTAGGAGTCATATGTGCAAGTTGTGAAGTTTATTTTTATAAGTAAGTACAAGATTTCATTCTTCTAGGACTTTGTCAAGTTTCCCATTAGTCTTTCTAGAAAACTAATTTTAATTTTTTGTTAATTTGAATGGAAACAGTTTTGAAATTTCTCATACTTGTTGATGACAATAATAATTCATGAAAGACCTTGTTTAATGTCATGCTGTTACTGCAACTATATGAACACCTACTTCACAATAAAATATTTTCATAGTTGACAAAAAAAAATTTGGGATTTTTTTTCAAAATTTTAAATAGTCTACCTAAAATAATAATTAAAACTTAATTGTTTACAAATATTTTTAAGGTTCCGAATAATAACACTTCAAAAGTCCATTATTCCTTGCTATTAAAAGTTTCTATTACAGTTTCCTGTAACTAACACAATCCAATGTGCAGTTCTTTTATTCATACCTCTTCTATTTAAACTAATATTAAAGGAAATATAAACACATGTGATCATTTATTGTAAAACCATTTGATTACAATATATTTTTTATGTTTTCAGATCTGTTTGTAGAGAATTTGGGGTTCACATTGGTAGAATATGTCTGGCATTTCAGTTGTTCTCAGCTGGCATGTTTATTTCTAGTACATCCTTTTTGCCATCCAGTTTTGCCATGTATACATTTGCAGCAGCATGTGCGTCTTGGTGGCAGCAAAAATATGCCTTAGCGATATTTTTTACTGCACTTGGATCCTTGTTAGGTATGCAGTTGTTATGTTATAGATTTATATGAGCCATAGGATTGTATACACAGTGTTTCATGTAAACCACATATTAAATTTATCTTGGATTTTAAATCAGAAAATTGTGCACTTTTACATAGCTATAGCTGATCTACTGGTCTAAAATATTTATAGCTCACTATCACTTCTGGTAAAACTAAATGTTGCCATTAACGTTTGTTATTTTTAATGGAAAAAGTTCATGTTATTTGCCTGTAAAGAAATCACACAGGTAAATTCTATTGATAATAATGTAGCTATACTAGGAGATCCAGTCATGGTGAGTAATAATTTTAATGAATATTTTTTAAATGCTGCTATACATCTTTTAGAAAGAAATAGAAATATACCAAAAATAGAATTCAGCACCAAAATACAGTTTAATAAAAACTCATTTTTTCTAACGTCAGTAACTATAAATGAAATGATTATTTTTCAATTATTTTCAAAGATAGGTATAATGTTTGGTCTATGTGGAACATACTACATATTTATTTATATAATATAAAGGCAACCCCCATTTATAATACAAAACAATGGACAAAAATAGGATGTTTTAATATTTTAACATTAAAAATAAACAGTGGTGATGAAAGAATCTATAGTTTTAATATATCTAAACATTTTTTAGGTTGGCCTTTTGCAGCCTTACTGGGTGTTCCAATAGCTTTTGATATGTTAGTCAGAAGAAAACTGTACCTGGATTTTGTAGCATGGTCTGCATTATGCGCTCTAGTCATTTTAGTACCGATGGTCGTTGTAGATTCAATGCTTTTTGGTAAATTAATTATAGCTCCTGTAAATATTGTGCTATATAATGTATTTGGGGGAGCAGGACCAAATCTTTATGGTACTGAACCGTTTACCTTTTATCTCATCAACGGTTTTGTAAACTTCAATTTTATTTGGGTAAGTTCCTATATTACATTTAGTAACAAGATAACTGCAAAAATTTACATCGTAACATCATACAAAAAGTAACCATGATGTGTAATCGAACTAATTTGGTCTATTAATAGAAGTCTTTTGTTTCTTTGTAGATTTTCGCTCTATTGAGTCCTATAGCAATAACCTTAAACTACTTCTGTGTGCCAGCTAAGAATAAATGCACGGTGTACCTACCATATTGGCTGTCATTGAGTCCTTTATATTTATGGCTTCTTGTTTTTATGATTCAAGAACACAAAGAAGAAAGATTCCTTTATCCAGTGTATCCCCTTATTTGTCTTAGTGGAGCCATCACTGTTGATATAATCCAAAAATTGTGGTTTAGAATATTGAACTTAATACAGAAAATGCCTCAAGGGACACATTATCTGGATAAGACTATGTTTATAATGTTTCTAAGCATAATGTTGACATCTTTACTGGGTTTGTATATTATTTTATTTGTTAGATACACACGAATCAGTTTAAAAACGATTTGACTCCATAAATATATTTCACAAAAATAAACTACCAATAAGCATCACAATTAGGATCCAGCAGGCTGGGCAACAATAATTTACTGATCTGGTGTGAAGGATTTTATAAGGGCAGGCAAAATCTTTTTGAAATCTTTGTGTGTTACTAAAATCTGGCTCAAATCTATCTTGACCTACAGTCTTATATGAGTTTAAGAACACTTCAACCATATTTTCTGTTTTAGGTATATCAAGGATACTATCTCTTCATCGAAACTATCATGCATCTATCGATTTGATGATGGAATTAAATAAGTATCCCGTAGAACAAAAGATTTCCGAAAGAGCTCAGATTAATGTTTGTTATGGAAAAGAATGGCACAGATATCCAAGTTCCTTCTTTTTGCCAAATGTTAACTGGAATATTAGGTAAAAATTTCATTTACAAACATTTACTACTGTAGGGACCATAAATCTTTAAGCGTGCTACCTTAATACCTAATATGATACAATAACAAACTATAGTTTTAACAAAGAATATAGACGCATAAGAAGGATAGTTCAAATTCAAATGGTCAATTTGGTTACGGTTACTATACTTCAAAACAATCCTAACAGGGCGACTGCATAAAGTCAAACCGTGGCCGTCGGCTTAAAACCATAATGAAAGATAAAGTAAAGTTCTTATAATCTTCTGGCTAACTCTGGCCAGGCTATGGTCTAGTGTTAGGCTGTACGTGCCCTCCGAAGCACGGTGGCAGCTCAGTTAAATTAGAAATTGAAAATTTTGTAGGTGCCGGGATAATGAAAGATGTTGTTAGGGGGAAGTGGGAAAGAAATACGAACTGGAAAGAAGTACGAACGGAGCTATTTATTTAACTTATGCATCCACGCTTAATCAAATTTCGATGCCATTGATTTGCAAACTGTCATTTTTTTTGTTTTTTCACAATAAAATCTTTATTATTAATATATTAAATTGTTAAATTTTAATTTTAAAACTTAAAAAGGTATGAAATTTATAATATTCAAAGTATTAATTTTTTTATTACATGTAAATAAAATTTTATAACTTTGAATTAAAAATCGGTTTGTTTCAACACTACGAAAAACTATTACGTAACTTTTTATTATACTGTTTTCCTGTCCAAAAATTTACGGAACATTTAAAAAAAATTTCAAAATATATTCAAACCAAAAATTTCATTTTCTCAGAACTTTTTATTAAAGTTTTTAGACTATTTTCGAAATTATTTCATTTAACAATATTGTCCTGTTCAAAAAAGTATTCAATGAACTTTTTACTAAATTTTGAAATTTATTCTTGCCGTTTTCATTGGTGGTTTTCTAGAACGGAGAAGTATTTCGTGCATCCTCGGTATCTTGGTGGATCGGCAGGTTTATATTGTTCATAATCTTTTTGTATTCACGTGTAAGTGCGTCAACTCGTCGTAAATGTGGATATGGGATGTGACTTAATACTGAAAGCCATTGGGTAGGTGAGTTGATTTAATTGTACCAGCTATCATCCTCATAGTGCTGTGCAGCTGAGTGTAGATTTTTTTACCTGTGGACTGTCCTGCCAAACTGGAGCACAATATTCAGCGGTCGAGAAAACAAGGGCTAAGGCAGTAGAGCGGAGAGTGGAAGCCGAGTTGGTGGTACCGCAGAGCTTCTGTATAATGATATTTCTTGTACCCAACTTTTGGACAGTTTTTGTTAAATGCTCTTTAAATGATAGCGTTCTATCTAGTGTTACGCCCAGGTACTTCGGTGTTTTGTTGTGGTTAAGTGTGGTATTTTCAAACCGTATGTTGAATTTCTTTCCGCAAGTTTATTGTTCAGTTGAAAGCAACTAACTTCTGTTTTGGATGCATTTGGTTGAAGTTGCCAGTTGCAAAAATATTCTGTATTAATTCTTATATATAAGCCTTTCTAATAGTTTGTAGATGGCAGAGAGAAGCGAGTTTTTTAGGTTGTCTTGCTCCGAAGGAAATGCTCCGTTTCTGTGGCTACATGTTTTAAAGTTTTAAGTTCTCTCTTTACGTAGATCGTGTGTGCTTTAGCCTTTGGTGCCCTGGATGTTTTTACTATATATGATGCTTCAGCATCTGGCTTTACAGCTGCCTCTGGCGTTTCGTACGGACACCACTCCCTAATTTTCTTAGTAATGATCATGCCTGTCTGCTTGATTTCTGAAAGTTTAGACTTTCTACTATTTCGGTCCACTGTTGGATTGTAGCGGCGTCTAGGCTGTACAGTAGTTCATCCGCTATTTCTTGGTCGCGAGTTTCAAGAAAGCTTTGATATAGTTCCTCGCTATTTTCCGACCAGCCAGGGATATATTCTTTGCGATACCCTCTTGGTATGTGCGTACACTTAGCACGGCACCAACAAATCTTTGGTGGTTTTTGATATTATGTGTAATCCACTCTGGACATTTATCCCGATCCGCAGAGACGTGGGATAAAACTAATTAAAGGAATTTGCGTCCCTACTTCTATTATTACTGGTCGATATTGGCTGTGTGGGAAATTAGTTAGAACTCTTGTGAAGTCCCTAGAGGTAAGTCTTTGTTGTCGGTCGAGATGAAGCATAGGTCGAGGTTGTATCTCCATCCCGCGGATCTGAAGGTTGGTCGATCTTTGGCATCAAACAAAAGGTACAGGCGTTCGTCTTCTGTCCACTTTATTAAAGCATTCCCATTCGCATCACTATTTTTGTACTTTCACTGTTCATGATGGTTATTATAATCTCCAACGTATATAGCAGGGTGAGGCTGTCCTTTAATTGCTCGGGCTGGCTAAGACGTAGCAGGTGGCTTGTAAATGTTTAACACGGTAATGCTAGCGATTTTTCTGACCACATTATAAATACAGCTATCAGTGGAAGTAGAGATTAGCGAAGCATTTTCAATATCTTCTTTGACATATGTGGCTGTGCTACAGTGGTAAGTTGCGCCTAATAGTTCATAGTCCGGTATTTTGTCCCTTTTTTGTAGTTGCTCCTCTGTTTGGCAGTGGGTTTCCTGTATAGCAACTAAGTCAATGTTGTCATCTTTTAATAGTTTTAATGAAAACTGGCTTTTAGCATAAATTTTCCATTTCGCTGAAACTTCCAATCTTTTATTTCGTCCATAATTGGTTAAATGACAACAAAAAGCATTCCTGAATTATTTTTTTACGCTGTATGGGTACTATTTAATCTTGTTTTAAGATAACAACTAATAGCAAAACATAATTTTCGCAATGAATAAATATTGGTGAGATTATTACAATATAGTCTTAAATTGATTTATACTTAATTTGAAATAAACTGATTTCATTAATTAAAATTAAAATAAATTTTATGTACATATTTATGACATTTACTAAAATATACTCTTTGTAACTGATTCTTTTATTCATATATGAATGAATGAATAAATTATTAGTTTCAAAAATGAAGCCAAACAATGTTAGCTTGGTATATAATTACTACATAGTATATTCAACTAAATAATATTCTTTTCATTATATATATTGAACCTAGATACTACCGTCATTTGTTAAAATAAAAGTTACAGAGATATTGAAAAACAAAAAAAGTAAAATAAAAATATATGAGAAATTATAAACGTTTTAAAGGTCTGTGGAACAGAAATCACAACCAGTTTTCTGTGCCAAGGTCTCTTTAGACGGGTCCTGATGGTTTCTTCATCATGCTCTTTCTCGGGGACGCGGGTGAGAACCATGGGACACTTGGGCATGTTATTTTGATCAATTATATTTAGGTTTGCTCCCTCCTACAGGCCCTCAATAGTCTTCACCACTTCAGTCGTCTATTTTTTTGTATACTCGTTAACACAGTTCACCCACAGGGTCTCTTCGTTAAATGATGTTTTATGGAACTACAGAAGTTCATTATGACCTCCCATAGAAGCCTCATCAAGTGTTTGTTCCAGTTTGTTAACGATCAAATTTGCCTGAGTCCGATCTAGTTGAGTATCAGGATGGTATCTGTGTGCCACCACTATGCTGAATACTTTTGTCACGGTGTTTTATGACCTGGTCTGCTCGTTAGAGTCCCTTGGTTTCTTAGCAACTCTGTTGCGAGAGGAGTGATGGTATTCTCTCTAAGTCTCTTTTTATCCTCTTGGTTTTCTTGGGATTTGCTATGGTCCATATCCCAGTACCCTTTTTTGTCATCTTCCATTGTTGAGCTCTAGAGAGGCATTAGTTGAGACTCACTTATTTATTTTTTTAATATAAAAATCCGAAATTATACTTCACAATTTCGAATATTTAATTTGTAAACAATAATTCTTTGGTATATGTGCTAAAAGGCAATTCTAGCGTACTAACAAGATCAGGAATTGTTTTTTGATCGAAACACCTTACAGTTTTTTGGGCTTTCTCTCCCGGTGATTGACTTATAATTAATTTTATTTATAGTGTAGAAGAAGAGAGTTGTAATTATATTATCTGTAGATTTGTACATATTTAAATCAATTAAAAATTTGAATCATATTTTTTCTTAAAAGATTCATTTATTACAAGTTAAAATAATATTTTATTTTCTTCAAAAAATTTTATAAAACGCAAAAATTTAAAGCTATTCTACGACCACGCGGCATCTACATATAAAAATATCTAAAGTTGCATTTGTTGCCCCACTCATTTTTATTTTAGAAGCAGTAATAGCGCTGACATGACCGCTCCCTAGTGGTACAAATAAGAAACTAAAATCTTGATCAACCTCTGATATCTGATTACGATCCTTCCTTCCGATAAAGATCCTTCTTTCTATATGCGTATAATATTCATGGCCTGGAATCTTATATGAATGACTTGGTCATTCCCCATCACTTTGACCCCACCGAGTTAATAAAGAAAATGACAGCCTATCTCTCTCACGAAGACTTTAACCAATCATAAACCAAATAAAATAATCAAACGACGCAATGTCAATTCTGTCAATCCAAAGTAATGACAGATCTTCCGTTTGTTTACAAGTTTTCAATTTTATTTTATTATCTTTAACTTTCGTTTGCATTTATTCTTAGTAATTTTAATTTAAATTTGGTTACTTAATTTTAAAGTTTATTTTGAGTTACCTATTGTAGCAAAGAATTTTTGTGTAGTGCTAGTAACAAAACTAAACATGGTGAATTATTGTATTGTTCGTTGTGTACAAATCATGGAAAAATTACAAAAAGGATGATAGTAAGTTGTCAGGAAGCAAAAAATAATAGTATTTAACTTCTGCAAATATGTGTAATAAATATTATGTAATTATTTTATAACTGTTTTATCTTAAACAACAAATAAATATACGTATATCTAGAAAAAATGTGCATCTTTTATATATCTTATTTTCCAATAAATTTTAATTAGTAACGAAATAGCCCACAAGAGGCGCTAAAGGGTATGTATGTAAGGGGCATCGAGCAATAAGACAAAAGAGGGAATCTAATCGTTATGAAAAGGAGACCAAAAAAGTGGCCTCTGATGGCGGACATATCCGGAAATGCGAATGCGCGAAATTTAAATTTCCGACACTTATCAACAGTAGCTATATAATATTTTTCAGAATGTGTCTTAGACGAGAAGTTTTAATTAAATATTAATGATAAGAGTCTAAAATGCGACACAACTGTTAAAAACTTCAATATAAATAAATTTCATGTGACATTTGGGACAAACAATAACATAACCCAACTAAATTGATGTTCAAACAAGGCGAGAGACTCTCTTTCCTTGTTTAATGTGGCCTCTAAAGATCGGCACTTCCTGTCTAACAATATGTTTGCCCCCACTACCTTTACATTCCCTCTATTGTCTCTTTTGCTCGATGGTAAGGGTGTTCATTCGAATTTGCCGCCAAAAGATGATTAGTATTGACCCCAGCCGCAAGGGTCCTAATGAACGAAATTTATACATTGATTGCCTATCTATTTCTATCTACTATATATTATTTATCTAGTATATATTCTTTGGTTTTAATCGAGCATCACTGTCTTAAAATGTGAAAATAAGACACAAAAGTTGCAGTATTGCAATTTTCTCAAGACATCAGTTTGTCATTTTGTAAGATTATTTTTAAACCCATATAAAATTGTCGAAACATAGTATGGTGATAATGTTTGCACAATTAAAATCTTTGCTTTTTCTCGCTGGATCTTTATTAAGACGCTTTAAGCTTGCAAGAAACTTGCTGCAACTGTCTTAGCATGACTAACTTTCATGCAATTTATTGCAGGGTTTTTATGTGGACTTTACAGCTTGCAATATAATGTTAAATTTTTACTCTAATAACTTATTTATGATTTGTTTAATTACTTGTTGAATTTAAAAACTTTAGTCGATTTTAGTTTGATAGATAGATTGAATAATTTCGATAGATAGATTTGAATTAATTTCAATAGATAGATTGATTTGATAGATAGATAGTAATTTCGTAATGCTACCATTAAAACAAGCGAAGAATCAAACGACGAATAAATCTACAAATAGAGCATACTATGGACTCCAAAAGCATTTCCACTCAAGAAACATCAAGAAGAACTAAAATTATTATATACAAAACCTTGCTGAGGCCGGTCCTCACATATGGAGCAGAAACATGGACATAACGCAGAAAGATGAAAGACTTTTGGGAATATTTGAGCGTAAATACCCGCAAAATATTTGGAGCTGTAAACGACCAAGGGCAGTGGCGCAGAAGATATAATTTTGAATTGTATCAGCTCTTTGTGAGCCGATGTCATAACGTTCATTAAAACAACCGCGACTTAGATGGGCTGGACACATAATACGAATGCCAGAAAATACCATTGCTAAAAAGCTACAACCCAGGACACCTGTAGAACAAGAAGCAAAGCCGACCGCGAATTAGGTGGTTAGATGGAGTAGAAACCGACTACGAATATTAAAAATCAGAAGATGGCAACAATGTTGCCAAAAACCGAACAGAATGGCGACGAATCTTAGAGCAGGCCACGATCCACAGAGGATTGGTCGAGGCCAAAGATGATGATGAAATTTCGTAATGCAAGACTATGCAAGACATTGTTGGTACTTCGGCAGAAGATAGTTCAATTTTGATGATACTCTCTAAACGTATTATTAAAAATATAAAATTAAGAAAAAGCGATATCTACAAATCAATGCAAGCTAAATACAAATTGTGGGAAAGGAAATAATAAACAAAACAGGAAACAGCTGATCGCATGTCTCGTGTCAATCAGTGATTATGACATTTGATATTGTGAAAAAATCAATTCCTACAAATTCCCCTAGACTTGCATGAAAACTTCACAGAAAATGGCCAACGATATCGCGCAACTTCAATAAGTTGCAGGCATAATCAGCTGCCACATCTGCGCATGCTTTGGCAACTTCTTTTGCGTCTTCAGGTAAAATTGAAGCTGTAAAAACGGACTTTCAATTTACTGGTTGAGTTTACCGAAAGTACAAGCTGAATATAGCCGCTAATGTCAAACATGGAACAAAAAATTTAGGTATAAGCAGTGTTGGCATGTTTTATAATGTAGATGCTGTATCTTCAAATATAAAAAGATAAAGCTTTAGAAAAGTACATTTTGTTATATATGTTGTGAATTCTGCAATTTTTGATTTATATAAAACAACAATGAGTAAATATTTGTTTCTTTGGAGATTAATTGCAGTTATTATTAGAATTTTTTTAGCAATTACCCTTTGATAGATTAGGGGATAGATTTGGCAATCGTCAAATCAGTAGTTGCCAGATTACAAAAGATGTTTGGAATTATTCTCGAAAGAGACAAATATCTACTCGTTATTGCTTCATATAAATTAAAAATTGCAGTATATATAAAATAGTATAATCAAAATGTACTTTTTAAAAGCTTTATCTCTTTATATTTGAAGCATACAACATAATATGCATTATAAAATCATGCCAGCACTGCCAAACCGAAATATTTTTGACATTTGCGGCTATATTCAGCTTGTGCTTTCGGTAAACTCAACTCAATTTACTTGTACTTATAGCTTTATCAGAAGGTGATTGTAAATTTAATAATAAAAAAAAAATTAATTTTTTAGGTTTATAAAGTCAGAATTTGACGGAATGTTACCGGCGCCTTACTCAGTGGGCGACAACGCTACCAGCATCGTCCACGAATACTTCAACGACCAAAATCGAGAAGCCCCCGAGCTCTACTTTGATATTAACAAGTGCCACTTTCTCGTGGACACAGACTTAGGCAAAGAGACCGCACTGGAACCCAATTACGCAAACCAGAAGGATCGATGGAAAGTGATTAAGACTCATCGTTTCCTAAACCAGTCCAAATCGCATCCACTTTTTAGGGCGTTTTATATTTTGTATTGGTCCGATCGGTATGTCACTTTTAGCAATTTTAGTCTATTGCAGTCGACTAGATTAAAAATAAAATAACAAACAGTAAAAAAGAAGCTAAAAGATAAGGCTGGTGTTATGACAATAGTACCACATATGTTATGAATTTCTACTGTTTATTTTGGTAAGATTCGCGATGCAAATTCTTCACACTTTTATACTAAAATAGCTTAGTGGTCGAAAAATAGCGAAAAAAAAAATATTTTTCCCAATTAATTTGTAAGTCATAAATAATTTTTCTATTCATAAATTATTTTATCTGTCGTATTCACTTTTGGTCATACGTTTCTTCCAATGATTTCTATTCAATGATTTGAGGCGTATAAAACAGGTATATTGGCCCTATTTATTATTTATCGTATGACACCTGACACATTTACATTTAAATTTACATATATTTTGTATAAAACATAATACATGTTTACAAACGAACATCTAACTTATTTATATAGTCTATCGACCTGCCATGATGGGATCTTGTGGAACACTGTTCTGTGACGTGACAGATGGTTTGTGGTTGTCCGCAGTCACAGAGTGGGGAAGGTTGTTTACCACATTTGTGTATCATGTAACCGCATCTGCCGTGTTGGGTTCTGATTCGGTTGAGCATAGTCCATGTGTTGCGTGGTAAGTCAAAACTTGGTGGTTTTTGTGATGCAGGGTGCTGCTATTTTGTCGTTTCATCTATTCTCGAGTCCAAGTGGTCGATAAGTTGAACTGATTTTCCACAGCATTTTGTGCTGTTTTTATTGGCAAGACGGTTACCGCTGGCAGCATCTACATCTTGATGGATTGGCAGGATCTCGTTACTAAGTATCTTTCTGTACTCACTAGTGAGGGAGTGTATGCGTCATAGTTTGGGCGGTGGAAGTACTGGAAGCCATTGCGTAGGGGTGGATTTGATAACGCCGGGAATTATTCTCATTGTATTGTTCAATTGGACATCTACTTTGTGTATATGTGGGCTGTTAGCCACACTGAATAGCAGTATTCCGCGGTTGAGAAGACCAGGTTCATGGCAGATGATCGCAAGGTGGAAGCCGATGCTCTCCATGTTGTGCCGCACAGCTTCTGGATAATGTTGTTTCTGGATTTAATTTTTTCGGCTGTTTTTCACAGATGTTCCTTGACAGATAGGGTTCTGTCAAGAGTCACTCTAAGGTAATTTGGTGTTTTATTGTAGGCAAGTATGGTGTTTTCTTTATCTACTTTCCCACTGTGTGTACGTCCGTCGTGAGGATTTCTTCTGTTTCTTCAAATGACTTACACCTTGTTGTAAGTGCTCAGTCATTGGAGTAACCAAACTTCCTTGATTTGGTTTCTGCTATATCAGACTACAGGCTAAAGAGAGAAGAGGAGCTAGGAACAGATCCCTGAGGCAGCCCATTCTTTAGGTTTTCTTGGGGTGCTGATGGTCGTTTGTTTTCCCAGGACTACCTTGAATCGATCGATCGGCTAGCGTGCCTATTGATAATTGGAGCGGTGGATTTACTGGAGATTTGAATGGTATGAGCTTGGTATATATCATGGCCATCCTCTCCAGACGGTATCGAAGGGGCCGCTGTTAGGTCTATAAATGCGGCTGCAGTTTTAAGATTTCTCTGAAGCCTGCCTTAATAAATGTGTTAAGTTAAAGAACCTGATCTGCGCAGCTTCTTTTCGGTCGGAAACCTGCCTGATCAACTGGTATTAATTCAAGTAGCTTTAAACTAATTATGTTGCAGATAAGTCGGTCTAGTAGCTTGAACGTCGCTGCAGGGTGCTGCTATTTTGTCGTTTCATCTATTCTCGAGTCCAAGTGGTCGATAAGTTGAACTGATTTTCCACAGCATTTTGTGCTGTTTTTATTGGCAAGACGGTTACCGCTGGCAGCATCTACATCTTGATGGATTGGCAGGATCTCGTTACTAAGTATCTTTCTGTACTCACTAGTGAGGGAGTGTATGCGTCATAGTTTGGGCGGTGGAAGTACTGGAAGCCATTGCGTAGGGGTGGATTTGATAACGCCGGGAATTATTCTCATTGTATTGTTCAATTGGACATCTACTTTGTGTATATGTGGGCTGTTAGCCACACTGAATAGCAGTATTCCGCGGTTGAGAAGACCAGGTTCATGGCAGATGATCGCAAGGTGGAAGCCGATGCTCTCCATGTTGTGCCGCACAGCTTCTGGATAATGTTGTTTCTGGATTTAATTTTTTCGGCTGTTTTTCACAGATGTTCCTTGACAGATAGGGTTCTGTCAAGAGTCACTCTAAGGTAATTTGGTGTTTTATTGTAGGCAAGTATGGTGTTTTCTTTATCTACTTTCCCACTGTGTGTACGTCCGTCGTGAGGATTTCTTCTGTTTCTTCAAATGACTTACACCTTGTTGTAAGTGCTCAGTCATTGGAGTAACCAAACTTCCTTGATTTGGTTTCTGCTATATCAGCTATTCATATCAGCATTCGTTTGAATCCCTCTATATCGTTGAAATACTAAGCACCACAATATCGCAAAATACTCTATCTTAATTAACTGGAAAGTAGCGGAGTTGTGTAACCTTTTGTTTCGCCAAAAACTGTTGCACAAGATTCAATAAATGTGCTGGTGTATGTGTGATTAATAAAACAGCTATTGCTTGCCTAAAAATAAGCCAATTGTATTCTGACGCACTTTTTGTAGCACTTAAACTTAAAATATGTGTTGATTGTCACATCCCTTGGAGCGTATTCAAGCTACACAGCACAAGCTGCATGGACGTCTTCCATTGTGAACTTTATTTTTGTACCATCATAACCGTAAACTCATACCTGAGTTTTGGAATGAATTTGGCACACATTCGATTCATTTACAAATTTCCTGTTACAATTTTCTTGTGTGGTCTGCACTTTATAGCAAAGCTAGTTGTTTCTTTTCAAAGTATTTCTCAGTGTTTTTTCATTTGTCAACTGTCACACACCTGTTTCCCTAATTTCTCCTTGACTTTCCCGAGGTTGATCTAATGGGCAGCAGTTTTTACATCTGCCATTGGTACAGCCAAACTTTTCATATTAATGAATAATTGCCAATACAGATTTTTCTAAGAGTATTTACCTATGTAAGAGTATGTACAGAATGGCCCTAGTAAAGTGCCATTTTATTGTTTGTACTCTTTCTACAATTGTGTAAATAGTCGGCATATTGAATTTTGATTATCACACCTTGCTACTTTTAAAATAAATGAGAGATACACTTGAAACAGTGTAATTGGATCGAAAATAATCGGTTTTAGGTATTGTTTGATATATCGCTATGATGGGGGCGTTCATGCACAATGTGGAGGAGATACTAGGGGAAAACGATTGTGATATTTATCTATCAAGTTAATGTATCTTTGTTAGATATCTCGCTGATTTTGTAATACTCATAATTTTTTCCGAACCTTTATATTGTTTTTATGATGCTTTAGTAAGGTAACCATTAAAAGAATTGAGTGGTTTATAGCTCCTACCTCATTTCAAAGCTCTTGTTTTAAAAAAGCCCAAGATTACCAAATTATTACGGATAGTTCATATTCTTTTTTTATAGGGTAGAAATTTAATATAGAGCTGACACAAGTACTTTCAAATGAGGTAAAGCTTGCCATATAATTCAATAATTTTTAAAATGGTGCTCTTCCGCCATTTTGATTGTTTACAACACTAAAACAACTTAGAAACAACGTACAGCTAGCTGCCTTACGTTTGTTTATGGATGATTATTGTCAAAACACTGTATCTGTAATTAGTTTATATATGTAGATTGATTTGTAACATATGATAATATAGTGTAACAATAATGAACAGGATAATACAGAGCTCTATGCTTCATTCAGCAAGCGAGGTAGAAGAGGAAAATGATCATAAAGATGTGCCGGTTTAATAAGACATGTTTATATATTTCAAGGCTAACAAGTTTTTTAATATCAATTATCAATACGACTATTAGTATGCTTTGAGCCAACAAATCGGCAAAAGATTAATTTAAACGATTCTCTTCTTCAAGTTTCAATTGGATCTACTACTAGAATTCCACAGCCTCTAGTCGATGAAGGTGTGTTTTTTGTATTTGTACATCTATTTTGTATTCTTGTATCACTCGTGTATTAAGTAAAAGTGCTATCCGCGTGGGTGCTACTATCTACTCCTATACCATTCATTGTCTTTATGACTCATGTGGAGTGTTGTCAACTATTCACCTTTTTTGCTCAAAGCATCCTTTAGTTCATTGTACCACTGCAATTTCTGTCAACTTTCTCACTTGGTACGTATGCTGACAGAAGTAACGAGATCATTATCCAACAACAACAAAAAGAGTCGAATCGAGTTACATATACTATATCAGAAGCCATTTCATAATGGATAAAATAAAGATAACATCACAATAAACACCACTACTATATCAATTAAACTTTTCTTTAGATTTTCATGCCAAAAATATTTTTGAAACCAAAATTATGTGACTGACTCCTTTATGTTAACGCGTTGCATTCTTAAACGCTAACGATATGTTATTGATAGGTGCTGAGAGTATTTTTTTTTGTAAACCGTTATAACTGTGATTGGTTTCTTGTTGACAGAATACATTTATAAAGGTTTTGCTAAATTTTGTCTTTCTTAATTCGTGAGGCTCATAGGCGTCGTCAGAACTAGATCATTAATGTTTCATCCATAATGCTAAGAGAGTCACATGTGCGTCTTTGATTTTTAAATTGCAGATTTTTGAAAGAAACATTTACTGGAAATTTTAATAGAAAACATATTACAATAATAATATTAATAATTACAAATTATTATCGTTATAAAACTGTACAAAACAATTTCCAAAATAAAGGCCAAGTTTTTCAGGACAGAAGCTGCACTCAAATATCGTCTTTTCTTGAAATTATTCTTTGAACATACCTTACATCTTTTTCTCTTTATCCGACCTTTACTATCAACATTTAAAATTATTGAAATGTCGTGCTTGTCTGTTGTTTGTATGCTGGAGTAACCAATACTATTTCAAAAATTTTTTAAAGATCCACTCCACTTTCCTACTAAAATGCCATATTTGTATTGCCCTATTGTCTGCCCTTGTGCTAGTTTAGCTTCTGGAAGCTAAAAGAAAGATATGGAAGACCAGTCCCTGGAACATCTACTAATAACCCAGAAGATTTGGTAAAATTAAAATTTTGCATTCCAATAGGAGAACTAGAAGCCTTCATATCAATGCTTAGTTCACTTGAAATTTCTACTGCTTTTCTTTGAATAATTTTATCAGAAACAATATTATTTTTTAACCCCAATTTACGAAGCAAATCGAAAATAATTTGATTTAATACAGCACCCGAGAAGAAATTACCGAAACAAAAGACAATCGAAGAAGGTAATGGAAACATTCTAAAAGGAGAAAAAGAAACAATAAGGACATAGACAGAGTATTTTTTCTTATGTATATAATAATGCCGTGGCTGCTCTAGCAGGACCAACCTGTCACTTCTGGACCAGCTTCATATAAACGACAGGCTAATAAAAAAAAAAAAAAATAAACCGAGAATACCTAAATTACTTTAGCCATAAGAACTATGGAACTATTGGTAGTAGAAGGAAAGGTAGAACATGTTTTTGAGAAACGCTTGATAAATAAAGTTAACAGATAGTTTCCTCTACAAACTCTTCCAAAAAGTAAACTTTTATACACAAGGGTATTTATGCTAGACAATACAAAACATAGGTATCTTAAAATTCACATATCTTGACGGTCATAGTCGTGATTAGCATACAACGTGTTAAGCGTTTAGCTGCTAAAAATGGTCTAAACTGTTCACTGAAGATACATACAAATAGATACATGAATTCCTTTTAATGTATCATTTTCTATATCTAGACTGGTTCGTATATATACTCTACCTAGCTAGAAGAATGAAGTATAACATCTTTCCATATTCCAACTTTTATACAATAAAACATATTTTCATTTGCTACGTACATTGTAGAAGTTTACTATTGTGATATCACCATTTTTTTTAACTATTTAGGCTACCCAAATGTATACTGATTTTTTTTAAAGTAGCTCTAAAAGACTGACAGATTTATAGAGTACCAAAATGTGAACTATAAGTTCAAAAGTACTGTTAGCTCTGAATGAGATTAATAATTGAAAATAAATGTTAATAAGAAGGGTAAATATAAAATTATTGTTATGTGCAATTTTTGTTACTTTTTTTTCATACAACTTTTGTATGTTTTGTTAATAAATGTTATTCAACAGTGATTTTTATTATTTTATTTTGATATAATACTACTAACGACGAGGTCCGTACTGCGTTAATTAAAATGAAAAACGGGCAATCTCCAGGACCTGGCAATATAGCTGTAGAGTTACTTAAAGCAGTAGGTCCGCGTTAAACCGCTCACCAAATTTATCTTTAAAAAGGGTAATAGAAAAGATCCTAACTGCTACAGAGGATTAAGTCACCTACTTTCGGGAGATATATAGATTGCTTGGAAAGATAATAAATGGAAAAATACAAAAGCGTGGACCAAAGTGAATTTACGCCTGGTAGATCTTGCACTAATAACTTGTTTATACTCCAACAATTAATAGAAAACAGAATAGCGATTGGTACCGAAGTACATCTAGCCTTCATCGACCTAGAAAAGGCGTTCCATAGGTGTTGATACAGTCCAAGACTTAAATTGTGGCAAGCTTTAGAACAACTCGACATTAGTCCATACCTTTTAGGAATAATCACAAAAGTATACAAGGATAACACTACTTACCTAAAAATCGGAAATAGACTATCAGAGCCAATAAAAGTAACTAAAAGACTAAGACAAAGATGCAGTATATCACCCTTACTGTTTAATTTATATATTGAGACAGCCCTCCAAAATTTGAAAAATAACTGCCAGGGAATTTGAATCCCCATAGGAAATGACGTATACTCCATTCCACGAATATACGACTGTTTTAAATTCGCTTTAAGGTGTCGACTTAAATGGTCCAATGTGCTGAATTGTACAATGGTAAATTCTCCCCATTTTTAAAATACTGTTATGACAGATATACACCTTAGATTTAAATATGAAGTTATGATCTAAATATAGAATTGATAGTTTATAGAATAGTTGTAATTCAGATTTTGAAGTATACTCGCATAATTACTCTCATTGACTTTAGTATTGTAAACAAGTTGGTTTTTGAATTAAGTGATTTAAACGAAGTGTAACAATACTTAAGTGATTAAATAGTTTAATTTATTTAGTCGAATATTCAATTAGTATTAAAAAAACAAAAAAAAACTTACTCTTATTCTCCTAATCACCATTACAAACAAATACACTACACTAAACTCTCTCTTAACGGACACGTCTCTTCACCGGACACCTCTATACAGACTGTTTTTAAAACTAAAATCAGTCGGCGATTTATGAAACTGTATGTAAATTTTCGTTACTTTTTAATATCTGTAATGACTCGGTACTTTAACTATCAATAGCCGCCATGTTATACCCGTTACTTTCGCTTTCTACAGCATCATCAGGGTCATTTCGTCAATGTTAACATTTGACGAAATGCCCCTGATGATGCTGTAGAAAGCCAAAGTACTTAGGTAAGATTTGGTTATACAATTTGTGCTCGATGTTTGCCTTTAATTTTTCAAAGTTCATTTATTTGAGCATTCATCCTTATATCAATTATTTATATTTTAACCGATATAAGTAATGTTTTCAGTTTTTTCTATTTCAGTACAATATGCTGTAATTATGTAGTCGTCTACCAGTGTTTTGCTGACTACCATATATTTAGTTTATATCAAGCCTATAGATAAAACGTTTTAGGTTACTAATGAGGGTATATGGAGAAGACGTATGAGAATGATAAGCGAGTAGATATGGGAAAAATTAAAAATGCAAACTAATAAACAAATCTTTACTAATACATAAGTAAGATACTTATACATATAGCAGTTAATTCTTATTAAAAACTAAAGTGTATTAAATTTATACAGTTTTCTCACGCATGCGTTCTAAGATCAGTCTGACCAAAATTTATGAATATATCACTATATACAAACAACAGACTACATACAATGAAATCAAAAGTGTATAAAAAATATCAGATCAATTCTGTGTGACATTTACTACGATTCTAAAAAAATATTGTGACAGTATTACAATTGCAGAATTATATACATAGTAAACCATAATAAGTTTTTCAAAAATATTTATACATCCTCAAAAATTGAACTAAAAAACTAAAAATCGGAAACAAAGTATTACTTATCAAAATTTTCAAGTAAATGCAGAAGAATATAAAGAAAAGAAAAGGGATAGAACCACAGTCATATGCCTCACAATAAAGCACAAATCAGACAAAGATGTCCAAGAAGTAATATAAAACATGACAATGCTGAAGTGGCATTGAACAAGTTTCTTGGTGAGACTAGATTAAGGAAAATAGTGGATTTGAATAATTAAGAAGTATATATCCGAGAAGACCAACTATATGAACAAAATAGTATGAAATTATCTCGAACGTAATAATGGGAAGGTATTTCGACATGCTTTCACGACATCATCTCTAATTTAATGCCTCTAGTGGTCTTATTAAAGTTCTTAGAATTGTATAAGTGCAATTCGGGTATTCTTCCAATTTTTCAGATATTTCCAACCACCTCATTAACCGAAAAGTTTAAAGGAAATTATCAGTAGTAGCGAATTTGTTTGTAAACAAAGTTTATGTATAATCACTAAAATATTCTTAAATTATTTAAGCTTATATTAATTGTACAAAGTATAAGTAAATAGAACAGATATGGGGTGTAAAAAACGGCTACGGTATATTAAAATGAAAAAACTATCCTAATGACTTGGTACGTATCATTTAACGACAAGACAAGTCTTGATAATAATTTAAAATTGTATTATGATGTTTGTGGCCAAATATTAACTAATGAATAAGAGGAAAAGTGGACCCCTTCAACCCCTAAATCTTCTCCAGGCCGAATACAAATTCAAATAAATAACGTAATGTAGTCTTTTCCTGCTTTCTTGGTTCAGGTACAAAGAAAAGACATCCTCTTCTGTATATTGGAAGTTCTGAGGGTTTTATAGAAGGGGCTACTACTGTTATCGACAAAGGTGGTAATAAAACTACCTACATTGTGGATAAATATAGTATGTTTTACTTTCATTTTCGTGACAACCCTGGACATATTTTGGGTACTTACTTGTTATAAATAATATAACAAAATAACGTAATTATTTACAGATTGCACTGTTCTCCCTATAAAGTTAAGCGCCAAGGATTTTTCACCAAATGTTTCCCTGGACCAAAGCAATATTATGATATATTTGACCATTTGAACTATTTTTTGATAAAGTTTTATAGCTGTAGAAATTTTATTAGGTAGTTCAATTGTTAATGCCCATTTCATCTACAAGAAGGCCGAACAGACCAACGTATCCATAAATGATTTTCGATATGCAGTTATGGAAGAATTGTTAAAATTTGAAGGCGGCCAGTTTTATGAACGTACACGTCGTGCAAAAGTAAACCTCAATGCTCACGTATTTACAAAATTAGACTATAAGGCACGGGAAAATAGAGGTACTGCAAGGGATGTTACAAGAGAAAACAGGATGGACTGATAGATAAAAATAAAGTGAAGAAAGTAATAACGTACTGTGCCCAGTGCGAAAATAGTCCTAGGTTTTGTCTAGAATATTTCAATATACATATTTCACAAAACTCATTAATTTTTTTTAAATAGCTGTACGTACATACCTATAATAGATATGTATTTCTATAGTTTATTTGTTTCACACATTTTTTTTATCAATTGTAGGTATTCTTATTTCTATAACTAATGAAAGACCTTCAGATTATTCTAATCGGAATTGCTACATAGAACCTGGTTCAACATTCTATATTGCATAGCGGACACATTCCTATGTTAAAACCGTATAAAATTGTGTCCTCGCGGATGGATAAATATGATGAAAAATTTAAAGTCAAGAGGACACCGGTGTCCGCCATGGCCTAGGCGGCGAATTTCAAATCGGACACCCGTGTCCGCCGTGGTGCTTAACCTGCTATAATAGATGACTATTAAAGGAGTAAAATTGTAAACAAAACACCATCAAAATTAGAGTAACAAACAAAATAAAAGATGAGTTGAAATCCATAAAAAAATTTCTTACAGCAGATTAACAAAAAACCATATAAAATGTTTTATTTCGGTATCATTAGTAGCAATGATGAGGAAGGGTAAATAATAAATAAATAATGCTGAGGGCGACGCACCATCTGGTACGATATTCTTGAGGCAAATGTGACAATACTCCATGCTTACGAGGAAAGTTGCCTTTTGAACCGGAAATCAGGAGAGGCAACAGAAAAAGAGGATTTAATTAACATAAATCCCCTAGATATAGTAAATTTCCTGGGAGGAATAGGACTGTCTGAGCTGCTTTTAGAATAACTAAGAAACCGACAGAAAAGTGGAGCACGAACTTTTCAGAACTTTTGGCTTAGAAGTCTATGTCCATTTGCTATCTTTTTAATTCCGATGTGATTTGAATCCGCGAATTCACGCTCTACGCTAATGAAATATTCTATCTACTACACCACCAAGACTTTTATCGTAGAAAACATCTGAAATCGCAGAATATATACTTTTACTCCTAAACTGCATTCTAGTACACTCGTTGTTTATCAGATCCCATGTCCACAATGACGTCATTGGGTGCGACTAACAATGATTAAAAAAAAACACTTTTCCCGAGGTTTAGGCACTCAATATCCCTCATCAATCTCAAAAATGTACAAAAATACTTGTGAAAGAATGTCGGAAGACATATATTAATGAAACATAAAAGTAAATATGTAGATAAATATAAAGCAGGCTCTAAAACTACTAAAAAATACAATAGTAAAAGCTCCTGGGGCTTGTGAAAAAGAGTACCAATACGAATAAAGCTTATGTATAAATGAAATAGGCTAACAAACATTTTCTGCATTAAGGCAAATATTACTCTATGTCCACACAAGTCATGATCAAAAATTAGCATTGTATAACCAATAAATATCAGAAGACAGCAGATATTTATTCATTTTGTATACAAAAACAACAAAATAAACCACGTTTTATTAAAATTAAAATGCCTGGAGATTTGCTATTGCCAAGGTAGACACAGTGTTATTCATTACAAAATGTTCTAAAATATGTACGCAAAATAATGCAACATAACCAACAAATTATAAAT